AAGGCAGCTTACATCTCCTCCTCCTCCATCTTATCCCCACAACAACAACCCTGTGAGGTAGGTTGGGCTGAGAGTCTGTGACTGGCCCAGAGTCACCCAGTTGGCTCCATGGCTGAGTGGGGACTAGAACCCAGATCGTCTGAGTCCCAGTCCATGCTCTTAACCACTACACCACACTGGCTCTCTGGATCAGAGGGAATTAATCCCTGTGGGGTGGAGTGGGTGTAACTATTGATGGTGCTCCTGTCCCATGTACTTTTTCATGTTGAAATTATGTGTGCAATTTTTAGACAGAGAAATATACACAAATTTAAGTGCCAGAAAGTAAATGGAGGCAAAATTTGCACCAATTTACAAGCAGGACTGCAGGTGTACATTTCCTCTACATTTAGTTGCCAATCTTTAAATTGATGCAAATATTCTTTTCATTTACTTTCAAGCAGTTATATTTGCATATATTTCTGCATTTTTAATTGTCAGCAAGTATTCTGAAAAGGAACTATGAAAAGGTAAGGGGAGAGGAAATAATATCCCCCATTTTTGGAGTAGCTGTAGAATCAAGGAAGTGCTAAAAAGGTGGAGAAAACTGAGAAATGTCAGTTCAGCACTTCAAACTGAGAAGATTGCATTGGTATGTGGATGACAGAGTGTGTCCGCCCTTTCTGGGGCACCTACTTTTGCTGCTTTTTGTCTATCTACTGGTGCTTTTCAAATGACAATGCAGCAATTTGGAAATTATCCTAAATGCACTTTCACCTTGTCAGCTTCCATGTGGGTTAGCTAAGTCACTTGGCAGCTCCCCTTGACAGCTGAAACTTACAAGGAAATTTACCAAGCAATGCGACACATATCATACAGCCATAAGAATGTACTTCTGAAAGATCAATCCCCTCCCCATGGACATAACCGCACAGTTTTCTGGATCAGAAAAAGAATCATGACCATAATTCTGCATGTTTGAGGCTCCAAAAAAACCCCAAAAACCCCAGCAACAAGCAGATCTCCAATCAACTGAATGGTACAAAGAAGTTTGGAATATAGCAGTTATTGACAAGTTGATGTGTAAGATAATGGTGAAAAAAGGATTGCTAAAGAAGAATGATTTTAATAATATATGGGGTATGTTTATTGAATATGTATTAATAAAAGGCGAAGGTAATAAACCCTCAAAGGATGTATTGCAATTTTGGATGGAAGAGGATATCTAGGAAAGGGCAGAAAAATAAATAACAACAAGGCACTCATGGTTCTGGTGGAGGGGTGCACAAACAGTGATTTCTGTATTTTAAACTTTTTTTCTTTTTTACATGATTTTTGTATTTGTATCTTTAAAAAAAACAAAAACAAAGAGCAGCAAGCAAAATGAATAGTGCTCAAATTTGAAAGGTAAACGGTCCAGCTGGAGGACCAGGAAAAGGAAGGCCAAAACAAGTAAGGCTAGCTGGGCAAACTATGGGTCCCTATCTACCGCAACTGCCTCTTCCTAACTGTTCTGCTGAGGTTTTGAGGTGGGTTCTCCTGCTTCTCCCTCCTGAATGTATCACCATCTTTTTAATTCCCCCTAGCAAATTCGATCCCCAAAATATTTTTTTAAACATTAAAATAAATACTTCTGCCGTGATCCCCCTTCTCCCACTATGCATTTCCTCTCTTTCTCCATGTTTCAGGAAGTAAACAGGGCAATAGGTGCTGCTCATTGCCAACTAAACAAAGGAAGTGATGACGCCTGTGTTGCTAGGCAACCATGGGCAGGTGGGAATGGATGCCTTGGGCATCCCCTTCTGTTGCCACTCTACCGTGTTGTTTCACCACAAATGGGAAAATGCAGCTCCATGGTCCAGTCATCATGACAAACCACTGCTGTGAATGGCAATCATAGAAAAGACCATTGTTTCTATGGTTCAGCCTACCGCTGGGTCCAGACAATGAAATAATCCCACATGATTAAAAACCCCACAATTGCTTGTCATGACATGTGAACCCAGCCCGTGTGTGTTCTCGTCTTTCTTCACCATCCCAATGGGTGTTATATCATTGGGAAACTGTTCAGATCCTTTCGGACCTATCGGTTCAGACACATTCTCTGAAATGTGCCTCTACCTAGGGATTCCAGAGGAGAAAATTATAGGAAGACCAGCCTGTGAAGTTTTTTAAGTTCAGTGGTTCCAGCTCTCATGAATACATGCTACTTCCAGTACCAGAAGCAGTACGCCTCCATATACCAGTTGCTCAGAAATAAGGATAGGAAGGTGCTATTATTCTCTCATCCTGCTTGTCAGCTTCCCACTGGCCGCTGGTTGGCTACAGTGTGAAAAGAATGCGGGACAAAATGAACCATTTAACTTATCTAGTGTGGATCTTATGCTTTTGCAGTAGTAAAGCTTGATAAGCTTTGTGACGGTTTTGGCCAATGTACCAAAGATGCTCTTTATTAGATTATTCCAACTCTAAGCACTAACTGACAGGCAGGTTGAATCAACAGGTTACCAAGCAACCAAAGGAAATATCTAAAACACATCTGCTGGAGTCTATGGCCCATTCTTCGGCAATAAGGGAACCATTTGCCCAATTACACACTCATTAAGACAGGAAATTAAATCCAAGATTTAAAAAGGAATAAAGTCAATTGTATGCTGAAGCAAAGAGGTGACCCTTAATATGGAAAAGCTAAATGACCGCCCTGCCCCACAAAAATAGAATGTCTGTTTCACAGACAAGCTGCATAATTATGAGAGTCTAGAAAGAAAGAAAAGAAAAAGAGAATTTATGAGTTGCCTGCAGGAAAGTCTAAGATATACACAGCAGCAGTGCCAAAAATAAACAGGCCTGGTGGATTCAATGGTGGATTTTCCATACTGTTCTAGGACTATTCCGAACTGCTATAGAAGACCAAGAGGTTGAGGAAGTAAACTTAAACAGTAACTTTGCCCCACAAACCTGAAATCTGTCCACCTCTGTGGACAGGATGGCAAGCAAATTATTTCATTCAGAACATGTCAGCTAGTAGAACCCACATGACTCAGCCAGCCCTAACATCACCTTATTTTATTCTACTTCTCTGTTTCTTTTAAGTGCTCAAAAAAGCCATCAAAATCCACACACATTTATCTAACCACAAGTTAAGTTAAAGTGTGTGCACAGGCTACTTTGATACCTTTGCATCCAACTTTTCCCCATCAAGGAGTTCAAACCAAGTAAAACCTTTTTCTGTTAAAATGGTGTATTGAAGTCAATTTATGCTTCATTTATCTTCAAAAGCAGCCTCCAGCAGGAGAGCCATCTGTGGGAAGGGGGCCTGGAAGGCCAGAGGCAGCTCTGGGAAGAGGAAAGCCTGTGTGCGCAACGGAGGTGGAATTTCAAGGAGGGAGGATGAGGCTTCTGTGTCCCAGAAGAACAAATAAAAGCTCTGTTCTGTTCCTTAAACTGGACTACTGTCCTCTCCAAAGAATAGTCTGCCTGGCTGAGCTGCTGAAAAAGGCCGGAAAGCTACGTAACAACACGCTTCAGTTAAAAGTATTCCAAAGCTTGCTGGAATAAACGTGTTTTCATAGTGCAACAAAAGGTGAGCAAAAATGCAGTGCAGGAGACCTTTGGGAGGTTATTCCTGTCCTTGGCACTATGACAGAGCAGGCCCTGGTCATCATGCCTGTGTGCCTCCCATGATTCCGATTTCTAGAAATTGGATTTAGGGATTCTACAGTGGACCAGTTTTTTCCTAATCATGTGGATTCAGTAGACTTGTGCTTTGTTTTTGCTTCTGGGGGTGGGGGGATTTGTGTTCATTTGCAGTAGTGCTAATGCAATTTAGTGCAAGTAGAATGAAATTCTGGTTAAAAAATAATCCAATCTAATGAGCAGATCTAATGAAATGAAAGATACCTGACAATATGTGAAAACTGTGGTATGGATGGAACGGATTTAACAAAATCTGCACCTCCTTATCTACATCCAGCCTCCAAGGCATGGCAGGGGCTCCAATATTGCACTTGAGTTGGACAAGTTCACATGGAAGTTTCATCTTGCGGGCAAATACACTTACGGAAGTGCAAGAGCCACTGCAGGGCCAGAGCAGCTTTCAAAGGGGGAAATACGGAGCAGAGGAAGTTGGAGAAGACAGTCCCCATCCACCATTGAACTGCTCCCATTTCTTCTACTGCCCACCATCATCTTCATTTCGTACCTCCCCATAACCAAAGCTCTCTGGGCAGTTTATAACAAGCCTCATGCCCTGTTACATGAGGGCCCCAGATGGGTCTTTGGCTTCACAAACATACATTTGGAACAGCACCAGTGTGGGTACTTGTGTGTGTACACATGGGGGTTCAGTGAGAGAAGATAAGGAACAGCCTGTGGAAGATGACCAGAAGGGAAAGTAGCAATGGGGTGGTGGGGGGCTATGGGAAAGGAAAATAATCCAAGTGGCCAGATGGTGAGAAGAGAAGCAGGGCTATTCTGCCCCCTCTGCTGAGATGCAGCCAGGACTTCGGCTCTTCAGCGTCGGGACCAAGCCAGCAGCCATGTCAGCAACGTCCGAGGGAGAAGCAGCAGCAGTCAGGCAACGCCTTTCGATGGCTTCCGCTTGGGGGTTGCCAGCCTCCTGCTTCCGAGGGCCACTGCTGAGCCCATTTCAAGCTGATCACTGCAGCACCCTCTCCCACTTTGCATCTGGCATGACTAATGCGTGGCCATGCATAGCACACGCTAGTAGCCCTTGCTGGGCAGAAAGGCAGGGCATAAATAATTTTATAATCATAAATAACATATAAACTAAGTGTAAAGCCTTGTTCTTCATGACACTCCTACTCTCAAAGAAAAATGCAAAAAAAAAAAGTGTGCGCTGACAAATTACAAGCATTTGATTGCCACATATTGATTACTAGGCAATTTCAACTCACCTATGACATGGTCTCTGGCTGCCTGAAATGATCCAGGTGAGAAGATCTTCAAGCCATATACTGTATAAACTGAGGGACTTCTGTTTTTGGAGCCTGCATCTAGCAATAAAATAAGGCCACACAATATACAAAAATATACAGGCCTGCTATAGATTATCATCTGATTGTGGCCCTGGAAAAGCAGATAAACAGAATATATATTTAATCCTGATGTGATTGCAGTTAGGTATCAAATGTTAAGAGTGCATAAAACGGCAGTACAACACTTACCTATGCATCTAGCATAGTAGTGTGTTACACATAATTCTATTCATTTCAGAATCCAAATGAACGTGGCACATGCATAAATGTTTTCATAACAATTTCTTTTCTATGACATACAGCACTAATCACAATAAAACACTGCGTACTCCAGCTAGAGTAAAATGTTAAGTCTTAACCTCTTAACCACAAATGTCAGAATTGAAGTGCCCGAAGGATTGTGCCGCTGCCACCCACAGTTTTGAGAACCCTGGGGGCCTCTTGTAACATTTCCTTTAGGAGCATGGGAGCTGATGCAGTGTTGCCTCTTCTCATGCTGCTTGGGCTTGGTAGTGTCAGATCTTAGCCACATGGGAGGAACACTGTTCATCCAATTGATGCAAAAGTCAAAGGCCAGATGGAAAAGATGCCGTGGTGTGAACTTCTCCCATGGGGCTTCCGCCATCCGACAAGATGGAGTAGCCACATAACTCCTACCCTGCTAAAGACAATGTTGGAAGACGCACTAAGTTGCTGATTTAAACTTCTATGCAAGTTTCAAAGAGTATAGAAATTTAGCGGGGGCAGCCTGTGATCAAAGGCACTAAGAGTGTTGCAAATAAATAAAATGCAATCCAGGAACAGGGTGAACATAATTCCTCCACCGCACCACTCTTCCCTAATTAGTTTTTAATGCTAAAGACTGTAAGTGTGTGAAAGGCCAGAACTCAAATGATTATTTAATTTCCCTGTTGTTGTGCTTTTTGAATTAGCATCAAGCTATCTCGTGCAATTTCACTCCAATGCACATTTGTGAATTATACTGGACTATGGTATGGCACCCTGTCAGGCCTACTTGTGGAGCCATTTTGAATGGTGCTTATGCTTCAATTCACATGTATTATAGAATGTAAAACATGTTGATGCTTGCAACATGTTAATATGGTACTACTTCACTCTGATGCTTTTAGCTCTGTTATATGTGGCTTTCATTCCAGATAGCCAGGAGAAAGGCCAATGCTAGTAACCTAAAAATATGGAAGCAAATTCTTTAAAAATTTGCCAAGCACAGAGCAGAAAAGAAAGGAAATTAGAAGTGCAAAAAGACTAAAGTGTATGCAGCCTTCTTCTTCCAGAAGTGTGACAGATCCAGTCTATTCAGATTTTCAGGAGAAGGGTCAAAACCACACTCATCTACAAGGCATTTGGGAAGGGCTGATCAGGTTAACAGGAAGTTGCTCTGTTTTTATGCTACCACTATTTATTGTGGTACTGATTCAGCATTTGAAGTCTTATGATAGATTTCTTGACCTGGTACCCTCCAGATGTTTTGGACAATGAGCCCAAGTCAGTTTGGCTGAAGATCTGTAATGCTGAGACTCATCCAAAGTATGTAGAAATGAAGGCTGTTTTATGTTTTGATCATTGTGAATCACTCTAAAGACCTCTTTTAGGAAGGGTAGAAAGAGAATAGAAATACTTTTTTAAAAAGGAGTAAAATAAATTCAGGAGAAATTCCACTAAAGAAGATATTCCACTAAACTGATTCCTTGAAAATAAGAAAGCAGTTCACAATACAGAGCTGTTCCATCTTGAGATGACATCTAATCCCAGAGTCTTTTTCCAGCAGTGACTTTTTAGTTATCTCTGGGAAGTTCAGAAGAAAGGCATGAAAGCAGATAGGGCATCCCACTTGTTTGTCCCCTAACGTTTAGTGTTCAAAGTTACATGTCCAGAGGCATTGTGTGTTTTAGGTCAGCTCTTAATAATATTAGCTGGGTTGAGTTACATGCTTGGGTAATGTGGTTGATATAATGGGAAGAAAGTGTGCTCATGGTAAAGCTGAATAAACTACTGGTCCAATATGATGTCTCCATCTGGAAAGCTGCAGGTTGAAAAGGCTGGTTTAGTACTACGAGAATGAGTCTCTGCGGCTGTTCATATAACATGACATAAGAGCCCACCAAGGGTTATTTAACCTATGATGAGAGTGCAGTGTGTGCAACTGCCATTCTGAATATGCAACTCCCCCTTGGGGATTATCATATCTCGCAAACTCAGAGAGCTTGAGTTAAATAACCCACAGTGAGTCACAGCATGGCATTGAACCCTAAACCTCTCCTTCAGCATGGCAATAAAGAAGTGTTAGAAAGTTTTTGCTTCTATTTTCAATTTAGCAGTTTTAGTGTATTGTCTTAGCTATGATTAAACTTAGCTTGGTTAAGTTGAAAAAAGACAGCTTCATAATCTGCATTAAATTGTCTTGTTTTGACAAACCATAGTGAAGATTGATCATGGTTTGACTAAGTTTTAGAGGTCAATACAAAATGTGGTTAATCTATGATAAAGGCAGATTTTTTTGGCCAGGTCAGAGGTTGAGAAGGAAGTGCACAAGCCAGAGTTTTGCATAGGCTGATCCTTGGAATGCTAAACTATGCTTAAGTGCTGTGTCTGACTGAAACCCTTCTGTGAAGTAATTCTCAATAAACTAACCTTGTTTGCACAAAATGTTGACCTGTGGTTTATCAAACTACAAGAACAAAACATAAGAACATGAGAAAAGCCATGCTGGATTAGAATAGTGGTCCAGCTAGTCCAACATTCTGTTCATACAATGCCAAACCAGCTGTCCACATAAACAGGCTATCGGTACAACAGTTCTATCTTGCCCAAGTTTCCCAACACGCAGTGTACACAGGCGTGATGCCTCTGATATCGAAGGTGACCTACAGACATGACGGCTAGTTGCCACTGATAGCCTTCACCTCTGTGACTTTGTCCATTCCTCTGTTGAAATCATCCAGACTGGTGGTTATCACTACATCCTGTGGAAGTGGATTCCATAGTTTAACTATGCGCTATATGAAGACGTACTTCATTTTATCTGTCCTGAATCTCCCAACAATCATTCTACCCTCCTATTATGCCTCCCCTTATTCACCTTTTTTCTGAGTAAAACTATCTCAGCTGTTGAAACCTTTCCTTATAGGAATGCTGTGCCAATGCTGTCATTATTTTGCTTGCCCTTTTTGTACTTTTTCTAACTCTACAATATTATTTTTTCAATTAAACTATGGTATATTGTCCTATCCAGGATTTGTCCGGCAATCAAGCAAACTGTGGTGCATTCTCTCAATCTCTAGTTCATTTGTTTGCTTTCTCCTTTGGCCTCCACCTGCCTTCCTCTTCTGACCATTGCCTCCATGTATCCCAAATGTCTTTGTGGTATTGTAGGATTGGCATCTAGAGCAGCTGGGTACTTGTTACCAGTTTTGGTCACTGCTTGTATAGCCTGAAAACAACCCATAAACAATCCACAGCTCAGGATTCACATGTAGTAACAGTTGATTGTTGAAACAACCCAGAGTTCATAAGCCAACAACAAACCATGGGTTCTCTTTCTAGGATGTTTGTTATGGTTTGTTAGTGTGGTTAAGTTCACATTTCTGACAATCAAGAATTCAACAATCTATGGATTACATAAACTCTGACTGGGTTCAGATGACACACTGCCATTTCTGACTGCCATTTCTTTCCATAATGAAAGGCTCCAAGCATTTTTTTCAAAACAGATGTGCTGTGTAGAGCGTAGACTATGAAGCACTTTGGCTTGTATATAATACCAAACCTAAAAAGATATCAAGATCAGAGCATCAAGAATAGGGGATATTATACTATGAATTAGCAGTGTGTGTGTGTGTGTGTGTATATACACATGCACGCACGCACACACACATGCATAATTGGAGCAAAACTTCACTGGCATTTCTAAACTCGAGCCCAGTATTGTATGAGAAAAATACTTTCATTAAAAATCATTAGGTGCTTTGTCTTTCCTACTACAGCAAATCAGGCTTTGATGTTATTATAGTGCAATTCTGATTAATCCAATTTCTTCTCATTCTAAAACAAATGTGCACATTATTAATGTCTGCCCATGCAACTGATCTGATTACCATTCATGTTACTGCACACAGCCAAACTGACAAACAGAACTTATATTTAGCACTGAGAAAATTACCTCTTTAGTGAGGTCTGAATATTTATTTCTTATAAATCACTGAAAACATCATATGTAATACTGTCTGGAACTACAAACTAATGTGCTTTTTAATAGAAATACTCAGTTTGCATCTAAGCATGAAATGCCTTTCAGCTCTGATATATCTAGCAATTCCATATGGTTTATGATATTAATTTTTTCAGAGAAAAATGTAGTAAAATTGAAGATTAATATTACTTATGACATAAATTGTAATAAACATTGATATGAAAATGAATGCAAAACTTGGTGATTTGAGGCCATGCAGTTTGAGCCTGAGGCACTCAGGATCTTAATTCTACAGTCTTGCTGACTGGTGCAGAGCAGATGCCTTTTCCTTAGTAAACATTGCAAAGGGCTATAAATTGGTAGGAGAGCCCTTGCTCTCTGTATGCATAACAGCCCAAGTTCGATCTCCTGAATTTCTGTGTAAGGAACGACAAAGCTGGTAAACACTTCTCCAGCTTATTTATTTGTTCACTGCATTTTTAAACCACTCAGTAGCAAAAAATCTCATGGTAGCATGTGACATTAAAAACATAATGTCCAAGCAGCAGAAGTAACCACAAGCTGCAATCAAAATAAAATAAAATGAGGTCAGATTAAAACTAGGAGTAAAACCAGCCAATAAAAATAAAACAGTGGTCGTGTTTTCATGGCATGCTAAGCTACCCTGTGAACAAGTCACAGTAGGTCGGTTGGTTGTTCTCCAAACAACACATGGTAGTTCTTTTGATTGATTAAACAGAAAAGGGATAGCGATCAGAATGGGCAGGGGGAGACAGGACTGGTTTCACCATGAAAGTCACTGGGTTACTGGCTGGAGGACCAAGGTGGATAGAAGGGAAGTGCACAGCTTACTTATAGGGTGATTCGGCATGATGCACAAATGTTGCCAGACCTAGTCATTGATAATGCATAGAATAAATATATAAATGGTCAGATCCTACAACAACTCATTTTCCTTTACGCAGAGAACCAAACAGTGCACTGTATTTTGCCTGAGGCATGTTGTCCTCAGTGAGATACAAGCAGGACAATTAAAAGTTTCAACCAACTGAATGTCAAACCTTAAATTAAAATACTTGTGTCTTAGATGCATAGTTCCAGAGCTGTAATAATCCAGGGGTATGGAATTCTGCACATATCCAATTAAAGGGAAATCATTGTTCTCTATTCAGCACAATAATGATTGTCCAAATTTCTAATATGCTCTAAAATGGACTACCTCAGTCTTTTCCTAACCTAGTGTCCATCCAAATATGTTAACCATTTTGGCTGAAGATGCAGGTGATAGTCCTACACATCTTGAGCTCAACAGATTGGGTAACACTAGATAATGAACAGTTTTGATTATTAACTGTTAGCACCAAAAAGGAGATGGGCAAGTAAGTGCACTACTCATCTTTCCAAAAATCCAGTAAACATATGGAATAATGAAGTACACAGTTCAGACAGGTGGATCTATAGTTTCGAGATATGCACCTAGATGTGCATATCCCCATGGAGAGAAAGGTGTGAGTCACCGCTTCAGTAAGTTAGATCCAGTTTAGTCATAACTAAATTAAATCCCACTACTTTCAATGGGTCTCTTCTAAGCATAACTAAATTTGAATTCAACTCAGTAACTGGAAACACAAAAACTGAACCTAAAACACATTCTCTTACAGTAGCTCTAGGTAACATCTGTAGCTACATTGTCTGCTGGGGATATGCTAATTGTGTCCCCACAGTTAGTGGATTCCATGTTTCTCAGCTTGACACTGCTTAATAAAAACACTGGAAGAATATATCATAACTATACACTATTGATTCTTTAATTAAGCTTCTTGCACTTGTGGTGCTTTGATGTTCATAGTAAAAGGCTGACTCAGATAATTCAAAATGATAGAGAACAGGTTAATGTAAAAAACATGTCATATGTGATTACTCATATGTTTTTTCTTAGTTACTTTGTAGCAATCATGAAGAGCAAATCAGTTTTTGATTATTCAATTTTCCATTGTTAATGCAGTTACAATTCTAGAAAGATGGCTTATTTCAACTATTGTGCAAAAACATATCATATACATAGGACAGTGATAAAATCCTTTATCTGTTTGCTGAAACTTACATGTATAGGTGAGGCAGGGTCTGGCTGAATGCTCTAAATGCAAAACAAGATTCATCACATTAGTTATGAGGTTTGTTTGAATTACAGGATGCAAAATGGATTGGAAATATCTCTGTGTATTAAACTCTGATATTTTTACCTTTAGAAGGGAGTATTGACAGCTTGCCATGATAAGACAGAACAGGAAGAGCCAAATGTCTTTACAAAAACCTTGGTTCATAATTAGAAAGCCAAGAAAAGAAACAAGGATTACTAGCAGAATTGCCAAAACATTCTCCTTGATATCTTCTGTCCTGTAGGAATAAAACACCAATACTTTTTTCAAAGAAAGAAATGTAGCCATAACTATAAAATTCCTAACTTTGTTTTTGTGTTTTACAAAGTGCTGTCTACAGAATTTACGTGGAATCAATGAATGTTAAGTAAGCCTAACTTTCTCTGGATGGCCCAAGCGAAATCCTCATGTATGCTCAGATGAATACATAGAACCAACTTTTGCAGGCTTCTCTGTATGTAGCTACCCACATCACCAAAATGAACAGAAGAGCACTTATGTGTGGGAGAGCACTTACGGGTGTGGAGGCTTTGCACATGAAAGCCTCCACATCTGCACAAGTTTGCCAAGTGAACAGCCAGCAGGAACATTATTTAGGAATGACAGGAAAGCCACCAATATCCTCATGCTTCAAACCAGATGTGATTGTTCCTTTGGAACACCAGTGTTTCTTGATATTGTATCTACATAATGACTGCAGGCAAAATCCTATACATGTTTAGACATGTTTTTCTGTCTAAGCATGCACTGGATTATGTCCTGCATCACTACAGTAAATGTGTTTATAGACCAGGCAACTGCGTCCAACATGCAAATTGCTTTGTTTTAAGGAGGAGGGAAGAACTGTATGATTATTATGGGTATAGTTCTTATGAAACAAGAAATCACTACAATGAATGCTCTTAAACTATAGCTGGCATTTGTTTTTGTCTAGTTATATTATATTGTATAAATCAAAGAATGGGTCTTTAAACTTCTGTGACACTGCTCCATTACTGAGATCTGAAACTGTGCCATAAGCAATAGGCTATTTGTTTGTTTATTCATACCACTGATGATCTGCACTCCTGGAGGAAAAGTACCATACAGGGTGGTGTACAACATAAAAAACTTACAACAATATAAAGCAATCAACCAAAGAGTCAGGTCCAACATTTCGAAGAAGAAGCAAAATAATCGAAGAAGCAAAATACTATCCGCCACACTCAAAAACCTGTGGTAATAAAATTGCCTTCAAGAACACAGCAGTGGGGAGCAGTACAGCCACCCTACAAAAGGGGCAACTACTGGGTGCACTACTTACGGGTGCAACTACTGAGAAAGGCCCCTTTCTTGTCCCACTCACATGTTTCCTGCCTAGATGGGTCATAGGAGAGACCTCTCCATCTGATCTGAGGAAGTGACGGGCAAAGGATATAGAAGGAGGGCAGGGATAATGCTCAGAGCAAATTTTAAGTTCTCCTGGTGTATTCAGGGTTAGGTCTCAAGAGTTCAGAATTTACAAGCTGGCATGACATCTGGCAAACTCCCCACGCCCCCTGCATTCTTCTTTGTATTTCAAGGTTCCACAATTGCACAAAAGGATGGACATTCACAGACAGTGGCTGATCAGCATTAATATACCAGAACACTTACTGCTCATCAACACATTGCAATTTTTTTTTCAGGTAATGAGAAACTTTAATGGGTACATGTCAGGCTACCTGCTATTATGGATAGATCTCTGATCAGCTCACTGATCCTACACATTGAATTTCCTGGTACATGAGACAACAGTTTGTTTATACGTGGCACTGCTGCAATAATAAAAGCAGGGAGGTGGAGTTCAATTTTAAAGGAATAGGAAACTTTCTTCTTCCCTGCTAATTATCCCTTTGCAGGGTCTCTCCCTGCACATTTCTCTCCATTCAGCCCATTTATGCTGTCAGACCATGGCCGAAGATAAAAGCGCCTGGTGGAACAGACTAAACATTATGAAGCTGCAGGTGAAAGAAGGCTTCAGTGCCACCACTCAAATGTTCCACTTGCCCTAAAATCCAGCCCCTTTTCACTCGCTTTAGATTAGGACACATCCAGGTTTAAACTAAACGTCACCATCATGTGTTGTTTGCACCACAATGGCTATAGTGATTCCATTAACAGGAATTTACAGAACACAGATTGGTCCAGTTTTGTGGGAAAAGCTTCAGTTACTGACGCCTGAAGATGTGGAAAAGTGCTTGGCCAGGTTCAGCATACCACCTGTATGCTGGACTATTGCCTGTCATGGCTTATTGTTAGAACTAAGGAAGGAATTCGCACCTGGGTCCAGGAGGCTGTAAATCCCTCCTTGATAGAGGAAGTCGTGCCAGCCTCTTTAAAAGAGGCCATGATTAAGCCACTCCTGAAAAAGTCCAACTTGGACCCAGAGGATGTGAATAACCACAGGCCTATTGCCAGCACTCCCTTCCTGGGCAAGGTGCTTGAGTACATGGTGGCCAAGCTTCTCCAAGCACTATGGGTGAAACTGATAATCTAGATTCATTTCAATCAGGCTTCAGGCCTAGTTTTGGAATGGAAACTGCCTTGGGCACCCTGTGGGATGACCTTTGCTGGGAGAAAGACAGGAGGAGTGCAACCCTATTGATTCCCCTGGACCACTCAGTAATTTTCAGTATCATCAAACATGGTATCCTTATGGATAGGCAGGTTGGGTTAGGAGTAAGATGGACTGCATTTCAGTGGCTCCACTCCTACCTGAACAACCAATTCCAGAAGATGGTGCTGGGAGATTATTATTCTGTTCCATGGAGTACTGCAGAGCCCTATTTTATCCCCCATGATTTTTAACATTTACATGAAACCGCTGGGAGTTTTCCAGAGGTATGGGCTGAGGGGGCATCAATATGCAAATAAAACTCAGCTCTACCTCTCTTTTTCATCAAACCCAGGTTAGGCAGTGGCCATTCTGAATCGGTGTCTGGTCTAGGTAACGGACTGGATGAGGGCCAATAAACTGAGACTAATACACAGAAGACAAAGGTGATGTTGATGGGTGGTCTGTCCAGTTGGAAAATATTAATCCTGTCCTGGACAAGGTTGCACTCCCCCTAAAGGACATGGCTTGTATTTTGTGGTTGCTCCTGGATCCATTATTGCCACTTGAGTTACAGATGAACTCAGTGGCGTGGAGCACCTTTTATCAGCTTGGGCTGATTTACCAACTACCTTTCTATGTAGACAGACAGAGCCTAACTACAGTAATCCATGCTCTGGTAACTTCTTGTTTGGACTACTGTATGTGGACCTGCCTTTGAAAATGGTGCAGAAACTTCAGTTGATTCAAAATAGGTCAGTGTGGCTGTTAATGGGGACTGGCCTACAAGATCATACTACACCAGTCCTCTTTCAGCTGCTGGTTGCCATCTGGACCTAATTTTAAGTGCTAGTATTAACATTTAAAGCCCTAAATGGCTTGGGGCCAGATTACCTGAAGGAATGTCTCTTCCTGTATGTACCTACCCAGGGCCTAAAACCATCCTTTTGAATTCTTCTCAGGAAGTAAGCAGGGGGACCAGGAGAAGGGACTTTTCAGTTGCAGCATCCCATCTTTAGAATAAACTCCCCAAAGAGGTACACCTGGTGCTCGCTTGTTTTTCTTTTTGGTGCCAGGTGAAAAACATTTTATTCTCCAGGTATTTTAATAGCTAACTTTTTAGTTTTAATATTGTCTTTTATGATATAAAGCTGTGTGCCGACTTGATTAGTTGTTAGGGTTTGTTGTCATTGTTATTTTATGGGCTTCTTGCTTCATTGTTTTACTGTGATATGGTTCATGTGCTTTCTTGTTTATATGCCCTTTTAACTCTGTAAACTGCCCAGAGAAGCTTTTGGCTATTGGGTAGTATAAAAATGAAATAAATAAATAGTTGATAATGCATCACTAGACCTATATCTTCCACTAGGCCTCAGTGAAGCACAGTGCATACCAAAAGCACACATCAGTGCATTTGACCTATATTGATTATACTGCTGATCAGACTATTGAGAGGAAACATGCTTTGCAAAATGCAGAAAAATATTATAATACTTTTGAAATAAACTCACATGTTGTGTTTTAATCTGGAATGTAACTGTAAGCAGATTTGCAAACCTCACAGTGACTCTTGCCTTCACCCTAAAGTCTCCCTGATCCATCTCTCAAAATCTCCAGTGAAAGTCCCGGTCTGAAGAACTACTGAATGGCATTAATCCAATGTAAAGCAATGTGTGAATATACACTTAGAAACATACCTATCTAGCAATGCCAGCAAAGTCAGTCGATCATACCAGACTTTTATCCATTTGCCAGGAAAGATTAAAAATTTGTAAAATTGTCTATTAATTTTTCTCTGTACTGATGAACATGAAGAATCTTCAAGGTCTTCACTAAAATGCTTTAAAATAAAATCAAAAAGGACTATAATTGGCATTGTTTCCATAACATTGCATTGTCCAAGTACTAAAAGAAAATTTCATTTCCCTGTCCATGGAAGAAAGTAGGCTATTTTCTTTGTACTCACAACATTATGCCACAAACCATTACAACTGTAACGAAGCAAAACAATTATATAGTCCACTTCATTCAAGATTGCTCTTTAACCTTTGTTTTTGCCAGTGATTTGAATTTTCAAACCACAAACTCTGGATAAACCCTTGAAGATGCTGAAATAAATTCCTTTGACCTTTGTATCTCTGAATAAACAAACTGTTTTCATACTCTATTTTTCCTTTAAATGAAGTACAATTTATTCATCAACTCAACTTTAAGAAACCATAGTACCATCTAAAAAGTTAACATATTTTCTGATCCAGCATTAAATTAGCTAAATGTTCATTATACAACACACCTACTGCAGTTTCTATTGAAAACTGCAAGTTACATGGCTATTTCTTTTTTATTTCAGCAGTGGGAATCTTCCAACATAATTTTGACACGTTGGTAACGATTTCTGTGAAGATACATTCATCCAAGGCATTATGTCAGAATGAGACATCTATGTAATTTGGGCCAGGCTGGGGCTCAACCAACCCCTCAAACAGGAGCTGGGAACATCTTCCCCAAAGAACATCAGATCTGGGGTCCCAATCCAACCCTCCAGGACTCCCTAGATGACCATGACCCTTTCCTTGGTCTCCACCCTTGTTTGATACTTTCCTGACTTTTATGCAGTTTCTTTCCATTCTAAAAAGGTGATACGCTTTTCCAAAGGCTTAGGTAATGACAGTAAGAGCTTTAAACTCCAGTATGCTACTTTTTTTTGTTTTGGCCCCATCCGTTTTGCCTTTGATCCTGCTCACACTACAATGCAGCCCTCAAGAGTGTCTCCAAAGCTGAATTCAGTTCTCAGGCCGAAAGGGGATTGCCACACCTGCCCTTGAATGTGTGTATTGCAGTCTCAGATCTCTGAGATCAAGAGTCTGGAGTGCAACAGGCAGAAAGTCCCATTTTGTTTCATTTGCTTTAGTAAGTTAAGAAAAAAAATGAGATGCCAAAATAAATGGGGTTCCAACTGTCTGGTCAAAGGAAGATGGAGGGGGATGCAGAGAAGCAGTTTTTCTGTGTACATTTTTAAAAATGCCTATTCAATGTAGCCTCTTTGCTTTATTTATCAGGAACTGGGCAACTCTAAGGCACTGAAGGAGCACCTGAAGAGCTAAAAATGTCATGACATTTGAATCCAACGCACCAAACTTACAGAAAACAGAAACAGGTAAGATTTAAATAGAAAACCATGGGAATAACAAAAATGGACAAACTATGTCTTAACCAGTTATGGAAAGAAATGAAAAGCAAACAAATAAATAATGGAAAAAGAAATAATTTACATAAATAAACATTCCTGCTCTGGGTAACAATGCAGGCTAGGACTTTCTACCTCAGTCCCTTTTTGTGCTTTCAGGTGGCATCTCCAGAGCTGTGGCCCAAGCACATAAAGTCCTAGATAGTTCACTAAATTAGGCTGTAGTCAATGGTCATGAAATTCTTGGTCCAGACAAATGCATAAAACTTTTCAGAAATCAGAGGGAACTGTGAGGTTGCGTGTGCATGCTACTGAATGCTGCCCTCTGCATCATTCCAATCAATCCAGCAATCATTCTAAAAGCTTTCCTATGGCAAGGATTATATCAGATCTGCCAATGCACAAACATTGAATCAAAACCACAAGAGGTACAGCAGTATGTTAATTTATCATTGTCAAAAGCAAACAATCCAAATGCATTTCAAAATAAAAGAGTTCTTCATCAGGAAATAAGCTAAGCAGATAATGAACAATAAATGAATAAATGAATATATAATAAGCCTGATCCAGACAATCAACAAGAGTGAGGGATTAGGAAGTGTCCTCACTTTCCCCCAGTAAGAGATGCCTATAGTTTCTCCCAGATGGGAGGATTAATGGAATTGTTTTTACCTGGGCATGCAAAAAGTAGTCCAGCAAATTTAAATACATGTTAAGTATATATATCAATACTTAAAGGGTTATTAAATAAGCCACCGAATCCTAGTAGTAAAAGGTAAATCAATTAAAGAGATGTTAAAAACTCCCTCTGTGGAGCATTTAAACAAGCGTTTAAGTATGTCTTAGGAACTGAGACATGCAGTACCCGTTGAGTTTCAGCTAGGGTTCTCCGTGCCACCATCAGTAACAGCTGCTGTTGCAATGGGCTGGGGCCATGATCTCCAGAAGATATATCCTGACTCTCTGAGGTAGCTGTACTAGAAGAGCTGAAGTGAGTTTCACTGTCACAGAGAAAACAGAATTAATTTGGCAAATGATGCATTAGTGCAATGAAAAGAAAAAGGCGCTTTAAAGCTTCCCAGCTGATCTAATGAAAACTTCAATCTATTTTCTGTTATTAAAGTAGCTCCAATATGCAAATGCTTTTCAATACTATTGCAAATAATCAACCATGCATTTAGTTATTATTTTTCTGTTTCCAGGATTACACTGCCAGGAGCAGGTGTGCGTGCATGTGCCAGATTCCACTGAATCCCCAAACTGGAAACAAATGATTCTGGCTGATTCAGACAAATTCAGGAGATGTCTGAATCAAAAGCAGGGCTCCTCTGCAGTGCACCAAACCCAAATCTGAACACTGAAAATCTGGAATTTGAAACAACATAGCCATGGTTTTCTCTAATAATTGTTATATTTCACATCAACCTTTTATATAAGAAAAACACCAGGGTGGGAGAGAAAAAGGGGAGGGAAAGCAAGGTGTTTTGTTTTGTGATTTATAGCTCTGACACAGGGAATAATTTTACCAAGCCTTTCCAGTCTAGCTTTGTGAGAAGAGATGCTTAAAAAACACATAATTTGGCTAATCTCTGCTAGTTCCCCCCCACCCACAAGAGAAGAAACATCAAAAGCGATTTGGTGGAATTAGAAGGATCTTGGTGGGTGTAGCTTTGGGGAGTTTCTTGAAAATGCTAGATGTTCAAGTCCTTTTGCCTCTGCCACTAATATGCTTCCCATCCATCAGCCACCCTTTCCTATTGCATTCTTTGTGACTTCGCTACCAACTGGACAGGAAACAAAGTCCTAAAATGTTTTTCACTCATACCTTTCTTACTCTTCTGAAATTTTGCAGGTTTCTTGCCTGGGTGCCTCTGACATATACAATTTTCATACAGATTGTCAAAAGAAAGCCCCACAGAGAGGAGAAATGAGAAATGTATCACTTACCCCTTCCACTCCAAATTTAAACATTCCCTTTCCATATACACACACAAACACACTGCACCTATCCGAAAATTTTGCAGGTTTTTTTCTTACACTTTTTCCTTTTTAAAAACTTCTGTGCCTTATTTATCTATGTTATTGCCACCCGGGGACATTGTAAAAGGTGGGATACAATTGTTTAAATAAATAACTAAAATCTAGGGCCACTTTTATTTTGTACATAGTTTTTATAATAATTGTACACAACAAATCAGGGGAAATTTCCCACTTGCATAAAACTCTTTTCACTTTTTTAACTGAAACATGACAGGTTTGATCTCCTCAGATGGGGCAACTATCTGTAAATTTCATTCAATTCTGCCAAAAAATAAAATTGTTGGTAGTTCGCCCCCCGCCCTCAAAATAAACCACTGTAAAGAATCGTAGGACCTCAGCAAAATGAACTGCTAAATCACAACTGAACTGAAATTTGTGACTGATGTACCCTTACACTCCAAAAACAGCATCAGATTATTGATACCCAGGCTATTCAATGGCCCAAAGAATAGATCCATACTTGGTCAGTACCTAGAAGATCCACTGGAAGAAGAGGGAACTTCAGGAGCCCAGCAAAGAGGTTGACTGAGGGTTAGGCCCAATACACATATAACAAGAAACCACCGTGGATGAACTTCCCTCAGACAGCCTGACAGCTATAATATTCACAAAGTTAAATATACTTCACAAATGCAATGCTGTCTTGAATGATAGTTGCCAGATGAACCCTGAATACCACCACCATTTTGTATTTTATGTATATACTTATAATACGCAAACAAGGATTAATATAAGCAGCACAAAAGGAAAAAAAGTAGGATCTTGAAGAACAGTTTTGCCAATTTACAAAATATACCATGTCATATAGATAGCTACCATAGTAACTAGACAAATAATATCTCCAGAATTAATAAATGCATTTTGAAATGAAAGTAACAAATCTGCTTGATGACCATGGTATGTATGCGTGGCCTATGCAAAAGGTACACACTGCCCTCTGCCGACACACTGGAAATCAGTTCATTTACAGTGAGCTTTTGTACATAGCATCATTGGATAAGAAATAGCGCATAACTGTAGCATTACAGGTACTTCATGTTTGTATATAACCAATATACAGACATGCCTGTTGCTTCAGGGAACACAGCTCAAATGTTTATTTGAATGTTAGTGTGTTCAACACCATAGCTGACAGCTGAAAACCTGCTCTAGAAAAACAACTACATCGTTGTTTTAGCCAAGGTACTGATGCTCTGGAATCCTGAAAAAAGCAGTATACTGGCACAAAAAACCTCTGCAGGTTTTCATGGCTATAAACAAACTTCTTAAGATGCAAAGCATCATGTTAAAACTTACTACTGAGTAAACATATGTAGGATTATACTTCAAATCCCTACATTTCATTTAGGAAGTTAGAACAAGGTGCTTTCAGAATTCAATTAAAAACTGGTTAAGTATTCAGGGATAAATAGTCATGTCTGAATAATTTGCTGGCACAATTGCTGGGAATGATTGGGATCTGAATTCACCAAACTCAAGTCATATCTTTGGATAACTGGTTATTTAGGTTCGCATTAAGTACAATGTTCAACCTCACTTGATGTTCCCTTTAAAATTCTATGTAGTAGATACTATTAAAACAAATCCAGACAGAAGACAGGAAGAATATGAGATTCAAAATGTGTTATTCTATTTTCCATTAGCTTCTCTAGAAAATAAATGTTCTTGTGACCTTCTAAATTATACACCTGCCTTTAGTAGGTTACAGGGGCATTGGTTTGATTAAAGACAGGTGCTGCCACCATGTGGCAATGCTTCCTTATACCTTTTTCTTTTTCCATAGATTTGTATGGCATGATCTTACATTTGCAATAGTTCAGTGCATTAATTGCATTAAAACTGCAATGCAATTAATTGTATTTAAAATCTAATTACAATATATTCCTAAGTCTTTTGACAGCATTGGTTCACTATAAGGTTTCAGTTCAGGGCATCCTGCCATGATGGGCTAATTTTGGAAAGAAATATTTAATTTCTGCCTTTCTAACCAATTACTTTTAACCCCATTCCATGTACTCGTTCCTTCTCTGCTACAGCTACACTATAGCAAAATTCTATTCGACTTCTATTCACAGTGCCTGTGAAATTACCAAGCTACAAAGAAAAGCAAATGAGGAAAGTGCCTTGTTGTTCATAGCAATAATGAAATGCCATTTTAGGGTGGCGGGGGTGGGGGGGAGCTCTCATAGCTTACAGTCGAACTTTGAAAGGGACTCGCTCACAACTTTCACCAGTGGTGGAATCACCACCCAGTAATGCAGCAGTTCTGGCCAGAGCTACTGCTTCTTTAACCAATAGCTGCTTGTCTATCTTTAACACCGGTAAGAGGTACAGACATTAAGAAGGACATGCTTATCTCCTTGCCCTGAAGATCTTGCCTTTCTACAGATCATACTACCAGTAAAGATACATGGGAAGGCCAGGCTGGCCAGTTGGAAACCCAGTGCCAATGGTGAACAGAGGCAAAAAGGGTCTGGCCCAGTCATCTGAATACCAGGAAGCATCCTCAACATGGACTCCTTGTATGCAGAGTATTTCCCAATACAGAATAAACCTGGGTTGAGAAATTCTAGTGCCAAAACCTAGTGCCCTCTAGGAGGCTTGGATGCAGCCAGTACAACCAATGGCCAGAGATTACAGCATCTGTTGTCTAAAATATCTGCAGGGTATCAGGTTGGGGAAGGCCTGGAATAGTCCCTGCTGTCTCAGAGCCAAACATTCACACCATCACCCTTTACCTTTCTCTCAAACTTTGTCTCACACACAGCATGTAAATACAATCAATTGTAAGCTACAGAAAAGGTACTAAGGTTGTGATCTTGCATACAGTATATATTTCCTGAGAGGAAGCCCTGGTGAAATCAGTGAGACTCATTTGCAAGTAAACCTACACAGAGAATGCAAAAAGAATTTTAAAAATACTATAATAATACGAAGCACATATCTGGATGTTAATAAGTAGACTTGAATCCTAAGGTAGCATGCGTATTTTTGCTGTTGCTGTTCAAAATTGCTGCAACAGATTTGCAGAAGAAATCTGTCAAAAACCAGCTTCCATTCTGCATCAGTAATAAGGATCAGCAATCAACTGCTAGAGCTGAAGGATGTCCCTGTCATTTAAAATCACCCTGGTGACTGGGAAGGAGAGGAGAACCTGCTTTTTTGTTGCCATTGTATGCTAAAAACTGAAAAAAGAACGTCTGCTCCCGAGTCGGGGGGCGGGGGGGGGGAGCCTGAAGTGCATTTGTAGAGAGTTTGGAGAATATTGTGATGTTGAAAACTGTCAGATATAAATGCAATTGCCCAGGAGATCTCTAGTACTGCGAAAGTATTCCAAAAGATGACTTTGTATAGTATGAAGCAGTCCGCAGCTCGTTATTTATAGGAATGAATCTGAATTAAGTACATAGACGGACTAGACTGAAACTCTCCTCCACGCCTGAGGCCAGATATGCTTGTATCTTACAGTATTTAAGAACTCTCACTGGGAGGATGTTTTAAAATTAACCTTCCTCCTAGTCAGTAACAGAGATTCTCTCTCTTGGCTGCAATTAATTCTTTAAAGCCTGTAGGCTTTTATTCCTACTGGAAAGATGAATGTACCCTAAAAACAAACATGACAAATTAATCATGAGGCTTTCAATGAAATTCTTTCATTGAAAGAATTTCCAATAGCGGAGTGAGTTTTAGGTTATATTCAAAAGGCCTACTATCAGTCAAGGTGACACTGCACTACCCCATCTCCTTTTTGCGTGTTTGTGTGCAAAAAGTGAAAGAACAGAAAGTGTCCATGGTAAAGCATCATGCCTGATTACAGTATTCAGAGAGAGTCTAGTTCTGTTTGTCAGATGTTAGCCATCCCCAACATGCCCTGCATTGGATTTATTAGCTGCATCAGTCTGGGGAACCTAAGTGGCCCTCTAGTTGCTGTTGGAGTACAGTTCCCACCCTCGTACTAGAAACATCTGGCAAGCCACAGGTTCTCCAGTCTTAATCTAGTTAATGGATTCATTTCGTGCTCCACCAGACATTTGGAGTGCAACCATTATGTTCTGCTTACTCCCAACAGAACATATTGGTTGTGCTCCATTATACAGAGATACATTAGTAATGCAATAGAAATAATCCAGATTATAAAAGATAGAAGTATTTTATAAAAATATTATAAAAGATAAAAGATATAAAATGTGGTAAAAGTATACAGTAGCAAGTTTCTTTTGGTGGGATTTGATGACCACTGTTCAGGAGCACCTCTGTTAATAACCCATGCTATAAAATTATTTAAAATTTATCATGCAGGAAGAATACCTACCCCTCTCTTGGAAGCACATCTAAACATTCTGAGCGTCTAAGAAACCAAGAGCAATGCTGCCAGGAGGCCACTCTCTCTCTCCCTGGTCTGATCTCCTAGCAGGATCACTCAAAGCTAATTGGTCAAAGCTGAGACACCAGACTAAGAGGCAAGCGCTCTCTTCAGGAGCAATGGTCACATCAACAGAAGTTAATGCATCTGTCTAATGATAAACTTCCAAACAGTGGTTAGTGCACTGCAGGAGTCCTCCTCCAGATTGGCAGAGGATCTTTCTCAGACATCAGCTCTGAAGCTCAAACTAACTCTGGTTAGTATTGCACTGAGGAAGGAAATGGTAAGCCACTTCTGAATTTTCTCACCTTGAAAATCCTATGATGAAACAATGCAAAATGAAAGAAGAGACAGGAAGGCACTCAACTAGCTACTAGGGAAGAGCAAAAGACAACTACAAATAGTGCTGTTGCTAATGACATAATTAGATCAAAGCTGAAAGAAACTCTAGCGGCTGAAGTGCACAGTGGTGGAACAGAAGTCTCATGCTGCACAACACATAACTGGAAAGGTATGAATCAAGGCAAACTGGAAACCATTAAGCAAGATATGGAATACTGAAACATTGTGTTACTTGGTGTGAGTGAACTAAAGCAGACTGGAATGGGTTATTTTCAGTCAGATAAACATTAATTAAGTCTGGAAAAACATTTGAAACATGCTAGAGAAGAACTTTGCAAATACCCTGTTGGAAGAGAATTTTGCAAATCCTTTGGGACCTAGAGCAAATCAAGCCAGAACTTTCGCTGGAAGCAAAAATGACAACACTCAAGCTGTTGCACTTTGGCACATCATGAGAAGACAACCATGCTAGGAAAATCGAAGGCAGAAGAGGAAGCCCAAATATGAGATGGATCAATTCCATAAAGGAAGCCACAGCCTCAAGTTTATGAATGCTGAGCAGGGCTGTCAAAGACAAGACACTTTGGAAGAGATTAATTTATAGGGTTGCTGCAAGTCAGAGATGACTTAAAGCACACGTAACAGCAAGAATACCTACACTTTATACAGGAACCACGGTGAAACAAAAGGCATCAGATACGAATACAAAATCAGTAATTTGTAGACTACTGTTAAACAAGAATATGTCCCTCTGCCTTGTAACATATAGCAGTGAGCTAGACAATATCCCTCTTACATTCAGCTTATGACTCATATAATGATGTATACTGCACTGTTCTAAAAGTTCTAACCAAACTGTCTCCCTAATGTGCCAATTTCTTATCATTTCCATGGGGAAACGTCATACATTTCTGGCCAATGAAAGCAAAATTGCTACTATAGCTGCCTAACAAGGTGGCTCAGAAAAGTCCTAGTATTTCCTGTAGAATGGCTCTTCATTGCTTGTCACTTGAACCAGAGGTTTTGTTCATTGACCAAATGTGAATAAGGACAGAAGAGTGTAAGTTCACACTACATAGAAGGCAGTCTACAAGTTGTCCTGTTTCTCTTTTCAACTATAAGATCTACAAGCAATGGCTTGGATCCTACATTCTTTCCATGAACAGTTTATATTAACTTGAATATGGAACCAGAGTTTCCTACTTCCCCTACAGCCTCTTGTGCCCCAGCCAAATCTGGTCCTAGGTTTGCGGAAACATGGCAATAGTGTTGGATATGCCCAGGGGTGAAGAAAAAAGGGGGAGTTGAGAAAAATCCTGCTGGTGTGTGAATGAAAGAGCAAGTTGGGATCTAAGCCATGCTTTTCTTTAAAAACATTAACTTATCATCTGTGTCAGATGATGCCTTACTAGGAAGCCTGAAAACAAAGTCTTCCCTGGTTGTCTTGATACTATGGCAACCTAAGAAATGGGAAAGGAGGTGATCCGTATTTAGTTATATTTTCCCTTTCATAATTTGTAAAAAAATCGCAAAGCTGATTTCCAAGGTATGTCATACAGCATCTTGATTATGGCCTTGTTGAAACTACTGCAGTTTGTCCCAATAGTAAACTTATTAAAATACAAAATGAAAACTTCCCTCCCACCTCACATCCTTTAGAATTCTCGTTCTAAAGATTAAAATGTTGCATTTCATAATGACTATAATTCAGTAGGGACTGCAGGTGGTGCAGTGGTTTAAACTGCAGAGCTGCTGGGCTGATGGATCAAAAGGTCGACAGTTCAAATCCGCAGACCAAGTTAGCCCCCATGCTTTGACCCAGTTCCTGCCAACCTTGCAGTTCGAAAGCATACAAATGCAAGTAGATAAATAGGCACCACTTCAGTGGAAAGGTAACAGCATTCCATGCACCTTGGTGTTTAGTCATGCTGACCACATGACCACAGAAACTGTCTGTGGACAAGTGCTGGCTCCCTCAGCTAGGAAACGGAGATGAGCACCTCCCTCAAGAGTCAGACATGACTGGATTTTAATGTCATGGGGAAACCTTTACCTTTACCTTTTATAATTCAGTAGTAAAGTACACTTTGCATACAAAATTTGCAGGTTCAGTTCCTTGCACCCGATGGTATGTCTAGGAAAGAATCAAATCCCTGGAGAACATCAGCAAGGCAGTATATGCAATAATGAGCCAGATGGACCAATGATGGTCATTAGCATGGTTCAAGGAAGTTTTGCATGTTCTTTCTCTCTACAAAACAGTTACTGAAGTCTAATGGGATCAAGCAATGCAGTGTAATACTATGCAGCTATGTTTAGAAAGACAAAAGTCCAACAATTCCCAGCCCCCTCCAGCCAGCCATGAAGTGCTGGAACTTGTAGGACTGTCTGTCTGTTTAAACTTCCTTATTTATGCATATTTTAGCTCCTCCCACTACTACACTACCTCACAAACAAAATATATACATACATTAAAGCAAACCAGATTTTACACTTTCATTCATCGCCCCATATCGCCCAAATTAACAGCCCTTAATCATCTGAATAGAGTCAGGCTGGTATATTCCAGAAAGAGTTTACTTACTGAGCATTGGAAACCCAGTCATTGTTAGGTGCTGGATTTTGAGGATTTCCTTCTTTTTGACTGCCAGCCTTTAAGTAACAGGATCTAATGTCTCCTTAAAAAAAGTCACAGTCAGTTCAGAGAGATACTTAGTTGCTCAAGTACTCAATTTTAGGACTAAAAATTTCAGAACTGGAAGGGAACCCAACAGCTAGCCCTCTCATTAGAAATGAAATCCCCTTAAGGCAGATGACCTGCACACTTTCAGTTCCACTGGTGAAAAAAATTCTTTATTGTCAGAAGTCCAGTACCACAGCTTAAAAAAATAACAATTCCCTACTGCAAACAACTGTGTACTACTCATCTTCCTTCCCACATTTCAGTGGGATGGTGTAAATTGGTGACCTGCAACAGTAGAGGCTTGGACTCGATGGCCCTTCTGAGCCCTAACAACTCTCCTATTACATGATTCAATGATTTGTTTTCTATAAGCAAGAGGTGAAACACCAGAGATAGTTCCTGGTAGTTCAACTTGACCTATGCAATTCATCCCAGCTTTGACAGAATAGCCAGTGGAGTCACTGGATATAATTCACAGTGAATTCTGTAATCTACTCAACTTTATGGGTCAGGGAGTTGTGTGTGTGAAAGCAATGTGCCAGGGAATACACCAAACTGACCCACCAAAATTATGCATTCCCTACACATGCAAAAGTTTGGATCATGCCCATTTTTATATATTTAACCTAGAGTTAAATAAATATGGGAAAGTGGGTGTAAAACAATAAAGCAATATTTTTATTCACAGATATCCAACCTTCCCTCTAACTTCTGCACATGAGCTTACCATTTTCATCTATGAAGACATGCATTGCATCCACAGACATTTCTTCTTGGACAGAAGCCTCAGGGCCACTTATGACTTGCAAGACAGAACTATCTTGCTGTGAAGTTACCCGGTAAATGATCTGCCTTTGCCTGGTGGCCTGGTAGCTTGAAACACACACAAAAACATTTGGTAATGAATATGAAGACTTTGACCCTCCCCTACTACTTCTCAACAAAATAAAAAATGGAGATGAACTACAAATTTACGTTGATATTTCTCAGTGTAACCAAACAACATGTATCAGTACAGACACAGAAAAGGAGAAGGTATCTCTTCTTACTGTGCAGTGAACTTCACAGGCTCAGGCTTCATTGAATTAATCCCAGCTGAGACCTGACTTTGCATTTCTGATCTATCCTGCTTAGAAGAATATTTTTCTTTTTCAGAGGAGTTTTTTTCTGTTTCCAGAGGTCCTTCCTTTATCTCTGTTATACAGCCATCTGAAACATGAAGAAGGAAAGCACTGAAGAAGGAAAGCATTCTATACAAGTCACTAAGCACGTCTCATTTTACTTCTTTTTTCAGCAAAGCCTGAGCATTTTGATGGCACACTTCCACAACTGGTAAACAAAGTAATTTAAAATATATTTATGATTAGATAAGCTCATATAGCCCAGAAAACTTATACGGGTTAAGGACCAATGGCTCATATAAGTGCATTTTTTTGAAATTTGTTTAAATCGAGTTATTATGGTGGAAAGGCATGGCACAAATCAATCAATCACCATGTACTAAAATCATAATAAAGCTGATACATATGTTAAAGATAAAAGCATTAATAAAAGCTCAGGGAGTTCTTTAACGCCTAAGTGAAGAATACCTGCTAATGACCTAGTGTACGGTATGTGACTGTGTCATGCTACCACGGCAAGTACATGCTATGGCTCCTCATTCTGGGGATGGGAGCTAACCCAGGTTGATACACTACTGCTCTTATGCTGTCCTTGATTTTCAGAAAGCAAGGAGCACATTTTAATAATTAGGTCTGGATTGTCAGCTCTGAACCTTCCTGTATCAGTCTGACTTAGCAACAGTTATCCATTCCTCATTTACGTCATGTTTAGACTACTGAAATGTATTCTAGGTGGAGTACTCCCGAGTAGTGTCTGGAAGCTTCAGTTGGCTGCTAAACCAGTGCATGCTCATCACGGCCACATTACACTTCTCTTTAAATGCCTACAGCGGTTCATAATTCAGCACTGGTTTTAGCCTTGAAGGCCATGAACAACTTATAATCTGGCCACCTAAAGAACTGCCTACCTGCTAGAAACCTGTCTAGGAACTGCTAGGAACATGTCTAGGTATTAACTTCTGATAGAGAGGACCTTTTCAGTTAGCAGCAGAGGTCTGTTGGGAATGTGTTGAAGGACTTTCTCCTGCATTGCCCTAATATTACTGAATACACCCCTGGAAAAACCAGTTACCCATATTCTCTTGGGTTTCAGAAATGGTGTAAAGACTCCCTTTCACCCTTGTTAATTCAGCCTTTTAAAATATGATGTTTTCTTAGGATTTTGTTTCCTGCTGTGTTATGCTTTTATTGTTTTAAACTGCTGCATGCTACCTTGGAGGCTTTCTAGAACATATATAAATGTAAATAATAAATAATACTGCAGCAGAACAAAGGAGTATAATATTGTACTGCTCTGTGTTAAACCAAACAAAGATTTTTCCCCCATGAAACCCATTCATTTTAAAATAGTTTAGTACCTTGTTGTGACATGGTAACAGCATTCAGTATTTCAACGTTTTCCCATTAAAAAGCATGTTATATATTGGGTATTGCTAGTCATATGCTACTTAGGATTGAGTTGCAATTGCTCTTCATGTAGTTAACTGCTTCGAAATCCCTTATGTGCGCAGGAAGTTGATTATTTTGAAATCTTGAAGCATACCTCCAGCGAGCCCTTTATCTTTTGCAGTCTCTGGTTTCCCATCAGAAGTTGTTGCCTTAGAGCTATTGATGGATTCCAGCAGTGAGACAAATTCCAAGAAATTAGATTCACTGGGTGCCTGCCCTTCTTTAGCTTCCAGATCAGATTTAGAGGTCGGCAAAAGTTTTTCTTTATCACTGACTGTCTCTGTAGAATTCTTGCTTAAAAAAACATCTGTTCCACTATCAACACTGAGCACACGAGCATGTCTCTTCTCATGAGCCATTTTATATGAGGGCACACCCAAACTCTGTTGCCCTTCTTTTGAATGCAAAACTGTAACTTCTACATTCTCAGAAACATTTTCTAAACAAAGATTTGTTTCTTTGTGATTATTTGTTGGATTGTCACTATATTCTTTTGCAATATTTTCCTGTTCACCAGATTCATAGCCAGAGCACTGGTTGGATGATGCATCTACATTTAAATTCTCTGGTGTTCTTAAGCTCTCACTCACTTCTTGATAAACATGACCACCACTGTCATCAGACAATTCAAAAGTAATGACAGGGATTTGTTCATTGTTTTGTTTACTGTTTTGATCTGCTGTAGCAACACCAGACTCTGGATCTGAGCTGGATTTTTCAGCGCCCAAGACTTTCGTATGGCATGAGCTTTCTAAATCAATTGCTGAGTTCTGGGTACTGCTCATTGTGATAACTATTTTAATGGGTTCGCGTAGCGTGAGTGGGTCTCCAGGGAGAGAATTATCAACAAGAGCAACAGCTACTTCACCTTCTGAATCATCAAGGTGTAGCTTCATGTCATCACCATAAGAAGAACCCTCCACTGGCCCACTGGTTTCCTTGGCTGCCACAGTATTGCACTGTGGGCAGCTAGGAGTACTGCCATCTTGAGCCACTGCATCTGGCAGCTTCTCTCTCCTGAAACATTTGGGATTGCTTAAATGCTCTGAAATGATGAGTGAATTATCAGTGCCCCAAGGCTCAAAGGAAATGCCATTCTTTAAAATGTCACACTGAGACAAAGAAAGATTTGGTAATTTTTTAACAACAGCTTTATCAAACAGAGTATCCTCCACTCCACTGTGGCCGGAAGACTGTAACTTTTCTTCTTTTTCACTGGTTGTGTTACTGATAAATGTCTCCATAGCATTTGGCTTGGCCACTATTGCTGATGCAGTTGAATTTGACATAAGTGCCATGGAAGCGGAGAGAATATCTGCTTTGACACAGGGTGAGGTAGATGAAACTGGTGGGACAGGTTGGTCTTCCAAAACCATTACTCCTATTAAGGGACACAAAGGTAGGGTAAGGCCAAACATATGTGAAGTTCTGTTGCTATACGCATTCCAGAGAATCCCCCTTAAAATCAATGGGCCAGTTCACTATTCAGCATCTAAATTGCCTTTCTTTCAGTGTACTATAAACCTGATTACATGGCTTTTGACAGTATCCATTACTTTCCTATAAAGCAGAGAGGAAGAGTTAGATGGACTCTGACACCTGTCTGAATATAAATAGCAGTATTTATAAATATAAATTAATATAAATAGCAGTAAGTGTACAGAAAGGCTTCCGTGAAGCAGAGCTTCCGTCGCTTCTTCGAGCCTGTTATCTAGAGCCCACCAGACCTCAGATGGATGGAAGACTCTAACGTCAGAGCTCTCCATCATGTGGACTATACACTCACAGGATTGCGTGCTTTGGTCAAAGAAGTAAAGTAACAAATGGGTGCAATCCAAAGTACACCCACGGGAGATTTAAGCTGCAAATCAAAACATGCTTAATAGGGAGTAAGGCTGATTGAATATGGTAGCTCCTACTTCTGAGTAAATGGGTACAGAGAGCTGCGCTGTAAGCCCCATGGAGCTCAAGAGAAATTATGCTGAGGGTGGCTCTCCACAACTCCAAAAACAAAGCACGGAAGCATTTAGCCAATTATTTCTTTTGGGTGTCTACTATGATGAAAAAAAAAGAGATACAAAGGAAAATAACTCAAATTCCCTAAGGAAGACAGGAGACACAGAAGAAGAATGATTTTAATTGAGCTTGAAGGATAAAACTAATTAACCTAAGATGTCACTTTTCATGCAAATGATTGTTAACATTTTACTCAAACAAGCTCATGAGCTCTACTCGTATATAAAATTTAGAGTGACTGGTATTTTATAAATATACTCTAAATGCTTTAAGACATGCAGTTTCTTAAAGCAGTTCAGTAACTATAAGCTATGTTATCTGTCAGGTACCTTTCAGATCTTCAATAGTTTCTTGTGCTGGCAGCTCCTAAAACAAAGCACATGGATAATGTGGAAATCTTGGATAATGTGATTATTTTTAAAACAGTAGCCAAGTTTGCTCAGTGAAAGAACCACATATAGTAAATGTCTGAGCACTGCAAGATGTGAACAAATATTTATTTATTATGACTTTATGAAAGTCTATTCTTGCTTATCAGTGTATGATTTTTTTAATGAGAATGATAATACACATAGACACCTGGAACACTAACCTTCCCAAAAAATGAACCTGTAGAAACAAGAACTACTCAAAGCAAATGTCATATTAATACAAAATAGCATGGTTTTCTACTGTTGTCACAGACAGAATCCTGGCAATTATAGTTTATTGAGAAGTGCTGAGAATCCTTTCTTAGAATTCTAACTTTAAGACCATGTCCTACTAGGGACCTTTGAAGGAGCTGCAGAAGAGGCAAGCAGCAATAGAATAGCCCTCTTCAGGGACGGTCACACAGACAACACAAATTCTTTTTGGAGCTGCAAACAGTCCCCTCGCTCTCATTATTCAGGAAGGGAGTCAAGATACTCGTTTTGAAGTTGGCTTTTTAAAGTCAGCAGGAGCAGCGTGAGGCACCATTGGACAAGTTCACAAAGCCACCGACCCGACCCACTCTCTTCCTGAGTCTCAGAAAGAAAGCAGATTGGGACAACAGCCTTGCACAAGCTCACCCCACCTGCTCCTATGGATGAGCACAAAGGCATTTGGCGGTTCTACCTCCACCACTGCTACAGGCGGTAAATCTGGTGGTGCTATTGGAGGGGGCGGTGGCAGTAGTGGTCATTTGGGTAGCAGCGGCAGTGATGTTGCCTCAGTGTCTTTGGTGGCCACTGCCTCGGCTGTAGCATTACCCCCAGTGAAGAAGCTGAAGATGGAGCAGAAGACGGCTCATGGGAGGTTGTTACTTTCAGCCTCTCTTCCCTTCCCACCCAAAAACCCCATGCTCACTGCTGAAGTAAGAGCTTGCAGTCAGCCTGGATCTGCTCCATCTTCAGCTTCTTCACTAGGGGTAGAGCTGCAACTGAGACAGCGGATGCCAAGGATGCTGAAGAAATGCCACCACCACCAGAATGACCTCTGTCACTGCTTCCAATGGGACCTGCTGCCTGGAGCAGCAGTGGAGGAAGAACCACCAAAGCACCTTTGTGCTCATCACCAGGAGTGGGCAGGGCATGCTGCGTGAGCTTTCAAGGGTTGCCAGCCCAATCCACTCTCTTCCTGAGCCTCAGGAAGAGAGTGAATGGGACAGCAGCCTGAGGGGAGCTTGCTGCAATCATGGGGATCTGGACTGGGCAGGGGGAAATGGGAAGCTCCAAGTCCTCTGCAAACTGCAAAGGGCTCAGTTCAAAGAGCCACATACAGCTTGTGAGTCTTGGTTTAGCCATCCCTGCTATATGCTGTGTTTCACAGATCTATCAGTACAAAGTTGTTTGTTGTAAACTGTAGATGGATGGTCTATAAAAGCTTTAAACAAACAAATAAATAAATAAGTTGCCTGAGCACTCAGCCTACCATGAAAGACAAGATAGTGGCATTGCAACTGTTCTGGTCGTGTCATTTTTCATGAGCTAAAGTTTTGTTTCAGCTGTCAAGAGCTAGAATGCATTATTATTTATGTATTTGATGTATGTATGTCTTTTAAATTGCTTTAATTAAATACTTGAAAACAGTTAGCTAGAAAAGAACACTGCTAATGTTCTTTGAATTATGTCTGTACAATGACAAAGAACGTAACCTGCAAGCATAAGGAGTCAGCTTTCCATTGATGCCACTATTGGGATCAGTTACACGAAAGAATAGGATGCCGTACCAAAGGATACCCCTAACACTGGCTTCATGGATAATCCATTGCTTGCCCAGGCACTCTACAGTTGTCACAGGCATAAGCAGCCTCTGAATTTGTTTGTATTCACCCATCCTGATGGTTCTGAAGCACATACAGAGCAACTCGCACAAATCTCTGATTGTGACCGAGCAACAAGACCTAGATGCCCAAGAGGAGATGGCAGACTCAATCTTTTGTCACTCCCTGAAAGATTAGCACACTATTACAGTACAAACAATCCCCAGGTTTCAAATGAGTTCCATTCCTAAGAAAATGGAAATTTGTCTTTAATTTGTATGTAACTTGAAACACGTATAGTCAGCCCTCCACATATTCATAGGGTTAGGCATGCTGGACCCCCATGAAAGTGGAAAAACTGAATAACTCTAGCCCCATTCCCAATTCATCATCAAGAACATGCCAGAAAGATTTCCTTCTTCAGGTGGGCAGAGCAGGAAGGCCTGATTTGGAGGCTTCCCTCGCTATCCATTTATTTATTTATTTATTTAAAGTTTTTATATGCCGTCCCCATTGCTACATAGCCTCGGGATGCTTTACTCCTTCTGTCTCTATGGTGATGCTTGGATGGCCCTCCCTTGCTCCCATTTGCTTCTTCTCTCTCTCTCTCTGGTGTTGACAATTTTCTCCAGTAGGCCTTTAACTGAAATTTGCAAATTAATAGGCTTTATCGCAGCTCATTCATAAGTACGCGTTGTTTGTAACTTGGACATTCATAACCCTGGGACCAGGGCCATCTTGACAGCATTATGGGCCCCGGGCAAAGCAGTGTACTGGGGCCCCTATGACAACTACAACTACTGTTAATTTTGGAAGTTTTCCAATTTTCCAAGGGTTAACATACACAGATTAGTATGGGGCCCACGGACAAGTGCCCATCAGGCCCATGCGTTATGACAGCCCTGCCAGGGACTGCCTGTATTTAGCACCAATCTGGAAGACAGTCCGGGTACCTCAATTGGTTCAGAATAGAGCTGCCAAGATCTTAACAGGGACCAGCCTGTTTTCACATATAACGGCAGTCCTCTACTGGTTACACTGGCTATCAATTGAATTCTGGACTCAATTTAAGGTGCTGGTTATGGCCTATAAAGCCCTAAATGGCTTGGGTTCAGAATACCTGAAGGAGCACCTTCTTCCCTATGTGCCTCCCGCCCTTGAGATCAGAGGTTGAGGTTCTGCTCCAGGAGCCCTCCTTGAAGGAGATTAAGAGGGAGTGTACCCAGAGGAGGACCTTCTCTGTGGTGGCGCCCTGCCTATGGAATACGCTCCCCAGAATGGTTCGCCTGGTGCCAACTTTATATTCTTTTCAGTATCAGACAAACCCCTTTGTATCTTCCCACTATTTTAATGTTTAATTGATATTAACTGGGGTTTTAGTATATTAATGGTCGGATGCTTGGGGGTGGGGTTTGTTATATTCTACTCATTTATTGTAAGCCATCCCAAGACATCTGTAGAGGATGGGATAGAAAAGCGCTTAATAAATAAATAATATTTTTGGACAAAGGGCTAAATCGAAGATACAATGTTATTTAAATCTCCCTGTTGCTTTGAAAAATAATCATTTCACAGTTTCTCTTTTTTTCCCATCTATAGTAATGGCCAGAACAAGATACTATTAGGACTATATTGGTGTCAGCAAAAGAAGCACACCTACTTCTCATATTCATGTGTATAGTAACAAAATGTATGACATGTCTTTAAAGTGCAGTTAACGACAGGCAGAACATCTTTGCTATGACATTGAAGTCCTCCAAATTTCCCTGCACCTGCTCCACTTCATTGTTTGCAAGGGCCAGTGAAATCCAGAATCCACTGACCCCACTTCATATCCTACTTAAAGGAGAAAATGGAGCACTATTATTTTTAGAATAAAATGCATGGTACAACTGTAGTTTTGATATAATCTAATGGCAAGTAAAGAGGGAACAGTGTGGGGAAAGCTTTACAGAAGAAAGGATTACTAACCAGTACACCTGAAGAATGATGAGACAGAATAGCCTGCACTTTTGCACTGCTATGGATGGTTGGTGTTGAACCATTATGCTTGCTCTCTTCAACTGCACCACTGTCCCCTATATTATTGCTATTCAAAATAATAAAGAACAAAATAGTCAGTCATTGCTATTTCTTACAAGAAGGTAAGGGAGAAACTAATTCTCAAAAGTGTCTAAGTTTCTTAAAATCTGACATATTTCAGATATTTAATTTTTATTTCTTCATTCTGAAAGAGTAGACTTCTAGACTCTAGGTTTGCAAGACTAATTTCATCTATTTTTACTAAAACCCCAAATTAGAGCCAGGTGCAATTAGTGAGGAGGCAGGGCACTCAATTACCCAATGTACCCCATGAGCCATAAACTGTATATACAGATCTACAACTCAGTTACTATAAACCAGGAAATCTAACACGAAAGTCTCAAATTGGTCAGTAGAGGTTCACGAAGACAACAAATGAACACTCAATTTCACAGGTAAGAAAAACTAAAGCTACATTATAAGTGATTACCATAAGACTGGATTGGGCAGAATCAAATGGTTTTTTACTTTAAATTTAGTCTTGTTGTCTATCGTTAAAACTTCTGGGAAGGAAAAAAACCCCTCAGCAATTCACTTCAAATGACCTAGAGATCTACCAGTTGATTCTGATCTACGTTTTGTCTGCTTTTATCTCTAAGTCACTCCTGGAGTCATTCCTTACAATGTTTGTTTATTTGTTTGTTTGTTTAGACAGCTTATATGCTGCCCCCATCGCATAAGCCTCGGACCCATGGACAACATTCCTCTAGGCCTTCCTGTCTTCCACCATCCCCCAGAGTCCACTTAAGCTCACGCCGACTGCTTCAGTGACTCCATCTAGCCACCTCATTCCCTGCCATCCCCTTCTTCTTTTGCCATCTATTGTTCCCAGCATTAGGCTCTTCTCCATGGAGTCCTTCCTTCTCATTAGGTGGCCCAAAGTATTTGAGTTTCATCTTCAGTATCTGGCCTTCTAAAGAGTAGTCAGGGTTGATCTCCTCTAGGATCCTTACAATGACCTAGAGCTAAAAGGACTATCCTCAGAAGGAAAATAACATTTCTGAAAATTGTGATGCTTTTACAAAACTCAAACAGTTTTGAGATCTGTTTTCCCCGCATTAACTCTTGTACACTGTGCATTCTCTCTTTGCTTCTTATTTTTTTACCATGACTATCCTGTTCCTGATCTAAATATACATGTCACATAGTCCTGATAGAAATCTGGTATTAATGCCAATTAGTTGTTCTGCAGGGAATAATCTAGTTTCCTCAAATAGCTGTTCACAATTATCAACAATTTTCTGAAAGAGAACTATATTTGGAGCATGCATTTCCTCTCATGATTTTTCATGATATACATGCAGAAGCCTGCTAATTGTCTGGCTCCTAACTAGACTGAATGGAATCAGAAATGATACAATACTGCATGAAGAAAACTTACCTAAGATGTATATGTCGAATTGCATTATCTCTTTTGCCATCTTTATTGTGCTTTCCTTCCCTCCAAGTGACTTTTTGTTGAATCACTTCTCCTTTGTCAAACATAAGATGCAGGCGGTAACTAACCACCTTGATTATTGTGAAAATCAAAGTAACAGAAATACAGTAGACGAAAGCTGTGATGGTGCTGGGTGGGAATGCCTAAACATTAAGAATGAGAAGTTAATGTAATTTATCTATTTATTTACCATTAAAACTCATCTATTTATAGTGTGACAATTTATAATATAACAAGATGGATGCTAATTATTAATCCTAATATGTTCTCCCGATAACTATAACTCTATTTGGGCTGATAACTAAATTATTATAACACTAGAATTTACCTAGTGTCTTTCTGCAGTGCTCATAATGCATTGCCTCAGAAATTCTTCCAACAACCCTTTAAGTATGGTAGCATTATTTAATTATTCTCATATTATGTGGTGGGAGGTACTTTAACTGAGAAACAGTAGTTTGCCTACTCAGTGATTATGTTATGGGATGTGGTACAGAGGTTCCTTAACTCAGCATCTTAACCACTACCAAACTTACCAAACTAGCTCTTATTATTGTAATTTTGTTTGCTTAAGAAAGTATAAAGCTATGTAGTATAACATTTGCTTCACTTGTATTTAGTAAACTATGAAAAGTATGTATATGTGAAACCTCTCTCTTGTTCTTTGATCTTGTGAGATTTGCAAGAATTGTAGATACTATGGCTAGAACCCAAAGAGTTTCCTGGCCTCTTACACAGCTCACTGTATTTCTGTTAATCATCACAGGACCTAAAAAGAAAAGATGTGCTTGGGATGTTAGCTGGTGGAAAAACAACACATACTGGAAATATTCTCATATAAAATTTAACAGAAACCGCATTAAAATTCTAAGAGTCCTATTATTTGGAAGAGGCTGTGGGATAGCAAATCCTGATAGTTTTATGAGAAGGCAATTTCTTGTCCCTGCTCTCAAGAATTCCTTCCTCTCATCCTGTCACTAAAATGTCACCTCTTAGCTGCTTCCCCCCCGTCCATGGGCCACGGCGTTTTGCCATGCCCTGCTCTTAGAAGGCCACCTATCTCTACACCAGTCCTGGGCCTAGAGCTGTCTGCTCCCCCAGAATGAGAGGCCTACAACTGACCCCCTCGCCCTCCCGCCTCAGCTCAGCGCCCTCCCGTGCAGCCGCTCTCCCGGCAGGGCGGCCGCGCTTCTGTCTCACCAGGTGCAGCGCCATGGGCAGCAGCAGCAAGAACAGCCACAGATAGAGATGGCAGCTGTTGATGAACTTGCTCTGCTCCGGGTCGTGGTACCATCCTCCGGTCAACGCCGCCCATACTCCCTGCCGGAGTAGCTGCACGGCTTGGGAGACCATCGCACCCTCGTCACTCTCCCCAGCGTTGCTTGCGGCGGCGGCGGAGGCGGCTGAGATGCTTCCCCGAGCCGGGCGCCAAGGGGTCCTCCATGCCGGATGCTAGAAGGATTTTCCCATCATGCTTTGGAGCGCTCCTGCGGCCGCCAGATGAAGAGCGAAGGGAGGCGCCCTCCTCGGCGCCGCCCACAGAGCCTCTCTCGACGGCCCTGGCGGCACGCCCGAGAGGCGCGGGGTGCGCTCTCCTCCGTCCCAGCTAGATCATTTGGATGCTGGACATTAGGATTGGTCGCTGGGGTGGGGGCTTTCGATTACCCAGTGTATACACATTCTCTTCTCCCTACACGTTTATATACTTTGCAATTGCATCCACTTTGCTGCCAAAACAATAAAACGGCAAACTCCGACCACTTTATCTCGCGCTCTCTCTCTTTCTCTCATATGTACTCCAATCACATATGGTTAAGAAATTTAAATTCAATTAAATCATAGCCCTGGAAGATTAAAATGGTTTTGGTTTTGCTGCCCTAACGCTAAATACCACTACTTGGGAACAACCACCATGTTGTTGAAGAAAGGGATGATAGGTTTTTGCAGGAAAAAGTGAAATTATAAAGTGAGCATTTGTGTTTATGCACATGACCAAGCAGCTGCCCCACAAGTTGTTGGGGAATAGGACCAGGGGTGTGTTCTTGCATTCATGTCTCAGAGGCAGCCCTGTGTGAACACAATGCCAGACTAGATGAATTATGGTTTGATTCAGCCTGACGTCTCTTATATTCCCCAAGTATGGCGCTGATGTGTGGTAATGGTCAATGTCTTGAAATGTGACTGAAGAGGCATGGGGTCTATAAAAAATGTGTGATTTTTGGACAAACCTAACCTGCCTCACAGGGGTGTTGTGAAGAAGAGGAAGACCCCATAAGCCACTTTGAGTTTCCTGGAAGAAGAATAAAGATGGGGTATAAATGTAAATGTAACAGTAGTTTCTAAAAATAAGGAAGCAAGGGTGCTGCCAAGCATATCTGTTCTGCAAGGGTCTGTTTGCCACTGACCACATCAACTGCCTCTTTCTGGACATTATGCCCATGGGTGGGAGGGGAGCAGACTGCACGTTCAAGACTTCAGCCACAAGGTTGCATCATAGCTTTTATTTGCACTCTGTGAACCAGCCCAGTGTCTCAAGATGGCTTCCCTACTTTTAAATATCTGTCTCTAATCCATTAATCTGGCATAGAAACCACATTCTTATCCCTCTAGCATTTCCTTCCCAGCTAGTTTCCAAGCTGAGGGCTGGTCCAAGAATTTTGCTGCCTAAAGTGAATCAGCAAAAGATGGCCTTTCCTCGCAAATTATGGTGCACAGTACCCAAGGCTAGTCGGTTGATTTTAGCACCTTAAGTGCCTTTTTTGCTTTCTGGGATTAAAATTGCAACAATAACAAAAGGAACAACTAAAATTTGCTTTCCTTTCCTGGCACTTCCAACCAGTTGCCTATGGCAGTCGCTTCCCTCTGCCTAGAGCCAGTCATGAGCTCTCCAGTTCCAGCTTGATGATTCAGTTGTTTTTCCCCAATGTAGATTTAGAGTCCATGCTTACCTTACTAAACATGAGCACTACTTAGAATGGCAGTCTGCCTTTGTATTAAGACTCTATAATTATATGCATATTAAGTGTCTCATTATTGCACTAAACACTGTACTACAAATAAGTCACTTCCGAAGCTTACATACCTGTGCATATGCAGGTATGCTGGTATGTTGTATGGAGGTAGAATTGTAAAGTTCGGCTGAGCTTCCTTTTTGTACTTTAATATTTATCCACTAGGTGGAGAGATGGGAGAACATTTGTGTACTATAATAGATAGGGGAAATGCTGATTTATTACTTGTCCATTTTATATTTCAATACACAACTTTTAGTACTGCTGCTGATACTAATACTTTAAGGGCACAATCCTATGTATGTTAGAGAAAAAGAGTAAAAAAGCTCTACAACTCTCAGCGTTGCCCATCCAGCTATACTAGCTGACTAGGGAATGTTGGCAGTTGTGGGTTTTTTCTGTTTGTACATGCATAGGATTGCATCCTAGAAGACCAGCAATGTCACTCATTTGCTTGTGTAGCATTTAATTTTTAAACCTTAATTACAGTTTTATCAAGACATCCTCTTGCCTCTTCTAATTAACTTTTCATCTTTGCAATACTTCATTTCCTTCATCCTGTCATCATTGTAAACCTTCCCCTGTTCTCTTTCCATATGGGCCTCAGTATTTTTCCAAGCCCTACAGCTCTGAAACAGCTAAGATTACCTCCACCCTAGGCATGGGATGGCAAGGCTGTGTGCTCCATCCCCAGAGAAGAAGCTGGGAGCTGTACACTTTTGCCTTTCCTTCATCTTCCTTCAGTTCTCCAATATACTTGCCAATGAGTCAGTCCATAGCTTCCTTATTGCCCCAGATTTAGTGAGGGGAAATAACCAAATTTATAGGCAATTTACCCAGCTCTTCAGCTTCACCAAAGTCTCCCAGAATGTCTTACAAAGAACACTAATATGATGGCCCATGCTCCCTAAGCCAGGGGTAGGCAACCTTTTGGGACTGGCAGCACATCTGAGAAATTGTCCTAGTCAGCACCACAACATGGTTGCCATGGGAGGCATGGCAGAGGACAAATAATTTCTCTAAAGGACTGGCAACAAGACTGCAAGCCAACATGCTAAACAGCTCATTTGAAACAAGTTTTCTGCACCAACAGAAATCTTTTCCACAGCGTTCCCAGCTGTTGCTAAGACCATGTTAATTTAGTAAAAACAAGTATGGGGGGAGTAAAGTACCTTGGTGGGTACCAAGAAATGTATATAGTGTTGGTGCCTATGAACAGCACACTGCTTACTGCTAGTCTACAACATGGTATATTACAGTATGTACTTCATATAGCATTGTAAATACAGAAGAGAATATAGCAAAAGATAAGCTTCAGCATTCATAGAGTTTTGCTTGAGAACTTACAAGATTCAAACTAACCATTTCCCAGGAATTCATCTAAAATATTTATAACTTGAACTCATCTTTTGACCAGTCTTCATTGCTTTAGCTAATTCTTCAGTTATGAAAAAAAAAGGATGCGTTTATCATGAAATGTAAGCACAGCTTACCTTTTAATTAACCAAGATGAAAAGGAGAAAGGGGGAATGATGGCCAGCACATGAGAAAACCTGCACACATAATGTGAGCCTATTAATAATATGTGCCTGTAGCTTAGCAGTAGAAGACTAAGGTTTATATCCAGTCAGCCCTACTTAGAAATGAACAGGCTTGAAGTGAGACTAACACTGGATACAACCCCTGTGATATCAAGTGATCACTTCCAAATGGCTAAGCTTGTGGACACCAAAAAACCATATCCACAAGTGAAGAAAGGGCAGTCATGGCCTAGATGAAAGAAAGGTAACCAGGGTCTGTACAATAGTTTGTGTGAATTATTTAAGTGATTTTATCTTAATCTTCAGCCAAAAAGTGCCCCACAAGTAGTATACATGAAATCAATAATAAGATAGTCACAACCTTATACACCATTAAACAATGTGGACAGAGCACAAGAAAAGTGTGAACAAGGACATCAATTCTTATGGTTACAGAGCCAACAGAAATCAACTTCAACAGAGCTGCATCAGGGAGAGGAGCACCAAGCCCACATCAACAGTGAAGAAGTAGAACCTGCAGTTCCATCTCTTTCCCTACCATAGCCAGATGGAATGGCTACCACTATAAATTCAGTTGCAGGAGAGAAGGCAAATTTACTAGGGCCAAGGAGCAATAACAGTGATACTGTTTTGCTTGACATTGTCCATCACTGAAAAAGATACATTAGATTTTAATATGGGCTTGTAAATATATATTATATGGCCCGAATACAAATTCCTAGGCATATAACTATGAACATAATTGGACATGATTTCATCTTGAAGTAGAGACAACTGAAGTTTGAGTTGCAGGTTTAATTCATCCTCCTCAAATACTCATTCAGTTCTATCCTGTTCCTTATTAGCATTACTTTGGAAGGCAGCCTGGATAAGGCTTTTCTGTAAGATGCAACTGAAACAAGACACCTCAAGATAATAATGGCACAATGAATGATTGTACCTGACAACATTTTTATTTTCTCTGTGGCTGGCAAGATTTCCTGCCAACATACTCCCCCTGTGAATCTCTCCAAGTGTAAGGAGCTCCAGTGACAAAGAGTTAGGCAACCCTGCAAGAAGGTAGGTGCTATTTATTGATCTACATATTTATGTAACTCCTGGTAATGATTAAAAACTCATAGATTATCTGTTGCAATCAAAACAAGGGCACAGCAAAGGAGGTAAAATTTCACAGAGGAAACCCTTTACAAATTTATAGTTGGAAGTCAAATTTGTCAAACTCACAAACTTAAAATCAAGTTTACATTAAAAATCAGCAGACTCAGATGGTATCCTTCCTAGAGTTCTTAAAAAACTCAGATATGAAATTGCTGACTTTCTTACAAAAATATGTATGTATGTATGTATGTATGTATGTATGTATTTAGACAGCTTATATGCCGCCCCCTTTGCATAAGCCTGGGGGCGGCTTACAATCATTAAAATCCCACATATAAATACAGAAAATACATAGATGTAAAATATGTAACATGTCCCTAAGACCAACCTCTGTAACAGGGAAATAGAGAATAGACAGTGTAATATCAATTGTTAAAAAGGGGGTCCAGGGGGATTCAGGAATTTACAGGCTAGATTAACTTTTGTTCAAGGTAAATTGGTTGAAAGTGTTATAAAACACAGGCTCCATGAGAATATACAGAGAAAAGCATTGCTGAAAAGAATCAAGACAGCTGTTTGATAAAGGAAAGTCCTACCTCACTAAACTGTTAAAAGTTCTTTGGGAGTATCATTGGACCTGTAGACAGGAGCAATTCGGTAGAAATTGTTTATCTAGATTTCCAAAAGGCCTTCGACAAAGTCCCTCATCAAAGACTCCTGAACAAACTTACCAGACATGGAATTAAAGGAGAGATCCTCTTATGGATCAATAATTCATAAAAGAAAAGGAAGCAGAAAGTGGGAATCACAGGACATAGAATAGTAGAGTTGGATCTCCTGCTCAGTGCAGGACTCCAAGTTAAGCCATCCCTCTCAGATGCGTGCCCAGGTGCTTCTTGAATGTCTCTAGTGTGGAAAAGCCTACAAGGTCCCTAGATAATTGGTTCCATTTTCATAATTTCTCCCAATGAAGGGATGTAAACTGAAGGGTTCCACAAGGTTTTGTATTAGACTCAATGCTTTTCAACCTATTCATGAAAGACCTGGAATTAGGAATGTGCAGTGGTAACACTAAGCTATTTAGGGTGGTTAAAACTTAAAGAGGTTGTGAGGAGCTCAGAAAGGATCTAAGCTGGAAGAATGGGCATCCAAATGGCAAATGTGGTTCATTGTAAGCAAGTTTAAAGTAATGTGAATTATGGCAGAAGGTCCCAACTTCAAGTATAAGTCAATATGAGCTAGCAGTGACTGGCCAAGAAAGGTAGTTTAGGGATGTGGTCCACAGCTCAATTAAAATGTCACTTCAATGCATGACTGCTGTGAAAAAGCAAACTCTGTGTTTGACAGTAAAGGAATTGAAAATAAAACCGCCAATATCATATTTCCTTTCTACAAATCTATGGTATGACTGCACTTGGAATAGTATATGAATTTCTGATCGATGCATCTAAGAAAAGGAATTGTAGATTTGGAAAAACTGCAGAGAAGGGCAACTAGAATAACTGAAGTGTTGAAGCAACTTCCCCTGTCAAGAAGTTACAAAAATTGAGATTATTTCACTTAAAAGAAAGCTGAGTAAGGGGAGCCATCAGACGTGCTGAAAAACTAAACATGGTGTGGATAAAGCAGAGAGGAGACAGTATTCTCCTTTTCCCATAATACGAGAACCTTTGGGCCACCCCTTGAAGCTGATTGGTGGGAATCCTCACCCTAAGTACTTCGTCACACAGTACGTACTTAAAATCCAGTTTCACAAGATGCAGTGATGGCCACCCATTTGGATGTGTTTCAAAGGGGACTGGACAAATTCATGGAGGAGGAGGCTATCAATGGCTATTAGTTATGATGTCTATATACTACCACTGGTACCAGAAGTAGTATGCTTATATACACCAGCTGCTGGGTAACTTGTTGTGGGAGGTGTTGCAGCCTCATATCCTGCTTGTGGGTTTCCTGTGGGCAGCTGGTTTGGCACTGTGTGAACAAAATGCTGCACTAGATGGACTACTGGTCTGATCCAGCATAGCTTTTCTTGTTCTAATGTGGACTTCCAGGTACAAACTGTCCAACAGGGAAGCTGCTAATATGTCCATTTCTGTATGGAAACAGGACATACTATAGTTCCATGGCTCCCTCTAGTTATCAGCCCACAGAAACACATTTATTTGAACCATGCCCCACCTTTCCACCAAGAATATAGCTCTCAAGGCAGCTAAAAATGCTTTGAGGGCAAAGAGACCTCATTGGCCAATATGCTTTTTAAGCTACTTCTAAATCTTGCCAACACAGTACTAGCCTGAAATACAAAGAGGCTGTCTTGCAACCAATTTTTGTTTGTTTGTTTCAGTGAGAGCCACTCTCACAATCCTGTGCACCTTTACCGGGAATCAAATCCCACTGTGTTTTGCATTTATTCCCAGGGGAATGTACGTGGGATTGCAGCCAAGTAAACCGGGTAGGGTTACACCGGATCAGCACATTCTTCTGCACAGTTGCCGAAATCAGTCCCACTGAGTTCAATGAGGCAATAAAAAAAGCACACACACTTTTATTCCGGTCCCAGTCTTGCAGTATGATCCATGACACTTAATTACCAGATCTCCCATCTCGTTCTCCTGTGCGCGAGAGTCGGCGTCTGGCGATCCCATTCATTCAAGCAAACCCTTCCGGAATTTCCCTCGAAAGAAGCGCTCAGCGAGCGTGGAGAGTGATCTCGCTGCGCCTTGCAGCGAGCGACCTCAACTCCTCTGGCGACAGACACCTCGCCCAGGGTTGCAGTTCATCGCCCGCGGCGACTGGGGCGGGCGGTGGCGACGTGCCCTCCGCCAGAGATACCTGAGTCGCTTCACTCTTTGACCCGCACCCAGAGCCTGGCCTCCGCGTCACGTGCCTTCGGGCGGCCAATCCGCGCCAACCAGGAGTTTTTCGGGAGCTGCTCTCGGCGGCAGACGAGTTGCGAGGGCTGATTCTTCCCCGGCCGCGGTTGCGGCGTCAGCGGAGGTGAGGCCGTCTTGGATTGCCAGCCGGTCTCCGTTTCCCACCGCCGCCTCCACCACCACCGCCGTCAGAAGTCGGGCGCTTTACCTGTTGCTGCTGCTGGCGTCGCTCCCTTCTTGCCTGCCCTTCCCTTCCCTTCCCTGTTCTCTTTAGTCACCCGCTGAGTCGCTGCTTCCTCTTCCTCACCTGGGCCCCGCCGCCCCTTCGGACCTCGGCGCGCTCAACGTCTTGCACCTCCAGGCTACTTCAGCTTCTGTCCCGTTTTCCTCTCGCCGCCTTACCCGCTTCCCTCTCTCCTTCTGGCTCCCGATACACCCGGCTTGCATTTTTCGTCTTCCCAGTGTTCTGCTCTTTCTCAGGCCTTTCTGACTCCGGATCTTTCTGCTTCCTTCCCTCGTTCCCTAAAACCCATGCCTGTAGTGCCTAGTCCTTTCTTCCACTTGATTCCATTATCCCATGACTTTTCCACCTTCTCCTTTGTCTGTGGCCGGCCCCCCAGTTCTTTGGCTTCTGCCTTAAGACCCCAGCCATTTTACTCCCTCTCTGTGGAGTCAGCCTTGGGGACCTCGCTTCAATCCCCTCTATAACTCCTTATGCACCCCACTCACCACCTGCAGTCTCCATTTTTCTGCCCTAGCCCACTTAATGCCTCTACTCCTTTCTTCATCTCCATATGCTTTGTTTCACTTCCTGTCCCACCCTCCTTATGCCAAGTTGAAACAGTGAAGGGTGGGCTTCTTCAGAGGCTTGCCTTATAACTCTCAATGTTGAACCTGAAATCGATGTGGTTACCACCACCACCTTGACCATGGCTTTGCTGGGCCCTGAGGGATCTGCCGAAGGAACTTTGGGAATCGGTGGCACCTCCAGCCCACTCTGGACTGTGCTGTATGACTATGAAGCCACCGGGGAAGATGAGCTGAGTTTGCGGCGAGGGGAAATGGTTGAAGTTCTCTCTAAAGATGCAGCAGTCTCCGGAGATGATGGCTGGTGGGCAGGCAAAATCCACCACCGCCTTGGTATATTTCCAGCCAACTATGTGACTTACCAGCCAGGATGTTATCAACATCCCCAGCTAGGGTTCTTGGAGAAGCCAGGGCATAAAGCCCAAAACCTAGCTGTGAGTGATGGGCATCCATGTGGTGGTGACCGCATGGGTTCTTTAGTGGAAATTGACTTCCAGCATCTGGAATTACAAGAGATCATTGGGGTTGGTGGCTTTGGTAAAGTTTACAGAGCTATATGGAAGGGCCAAGAAGTAGCAGTGAAAGCAGCCCGGCAGGACCCAGATGAGGACATCATGGCCACTGCAGAGAGTGTGAGGCAGGAAGCAAAATTGTTCTCTATGTTGAAGCATCCCAATATCATTGAACTTCATGGTGTAAGTTTGCAGGAGCCAAACCTCTGCCTGGTCATGGAGTTTGCCAGAGGAGGACCCCTCAATAGAGCATTGTCAGGTGCTTCACCCACAAGCAGTGGCAGCCACTGGGGCCATCGCATACCTCCTCATATACTGATCAACTGGGCAGTACAGATAGCTCGTGGAATGCTTTACTTACATGAAGAAGCCATAGTTCCCATCCTTCACAGAGACCTCAAGTCAAGCAACAGTAAGTATTTTGCATAATTGTTAACAAAATAAGGCAAGTTTTCTTTTCCATGTTATAACAGTGAACAGTACTGTGAGGAATTGTATTTTTAAACATTGTGGTGGTTTATGGTAATTAAAATAGTTTCCTATAAAGCCTGGATTTGGCATTTCACAATGAAGCACTTAACTTATTATGGCTAGTTGGATAAAAGGGACAAGTGTCAACAGCATTGCTAGCACTCAACACTGGCTATGGAATTTGGGGTTTAAAGTCTGTACCTTTTCCTTTTGCCATTCAGAATCTGCCTTTCAGTCATCTTATGTTTCAAGATAATCCAGTTTGGCTACATGAAGTTTCTTTTCTGTTGGTGCGACAACACATATGCATCCATAATCATTTCAATGCTTAGCTGTGTTTCCATTCTTAGAAAACCTGAGCAGCCTTCCCATGGTGGTTCTTTGAAGAAGGAGGTCTGGATTAAATTCATCTATTGAATCTTTGGCTTCTGATATAGGAGTTATTAAAACTGCAAAATCCCTTTTAGGTGTAAGGAGTTAGATTTAGACTACGCAACTATTGTCTATACTTTGCCTTGACTTGTACACGTTGGCCATGTGAAGTGGAAATGCTACCTGAATCTAGCGACTGATATTTCTCGTTCCAACTTGTTAAATTGGGAGGAAGCAGTCATATTTTACCAACTCAGTCTTGGATGAATTTTAAAGAAGTTCATTCTTGTTTCCAGTGTGAGTGTTCCATAATCTATTTTTTAATGTAGAAAAACTTCTGGTTTACCTGTCCTTTTGTACTATGTTTAATGAGTGTAGTGAGGGTTAGGGTAATTGGAATGGCTCACAGTGCCAACCACATTTTAGATGTTCTTTATGGAAAAGCCCTCTCCCACAAAATCTTGGTTGAAGAAGAAACAAAATAAGCTTATTCTTCATTAACGTTTTGTAGGAGTGACCCCTATTAGAATGAATTTGGGATGGCTTAAAAACTGACCTCAAAGACAGTGAGGGAAACTTTCATGTGTTCCCCAGGCCCATCTGAAAGCTCAATCAGTTTCCTTCAGGAACAGTATTTCCTTGTCGGTGACAATACAGAAGGTGGGTTTATATGACCTCTTGCTAGCATGAGCCCATGTATTTATTATTACATTTATGTTCCAGCTCTTTTCTCTCTTGCAACGGGCTTTTCCTTTCCATTATATCTTCACAACAATCCTATGAAGGAGCTGGGCCTACAACTCAAAGATGCCCATGGCCAAGTGGGAACCAGAGCCTGGATTTTCCAAGTCCAGGTCCAGTACTCTGGCTGCTACCCCACAATGGCTGTCTTTTACCTTTCTGCCATGGCACCCGGTTGTCTTACAGTCAGGTTCCTTCATTTTAAACCACTCACCTTTTGGACACTGACTTTTCCACTGAAATGACCATCAACCTTATAACACATCATGGGTTATCTGGGGGTTGTTTATACTTGAAACAAGCCATGCCACCCCTTTGAGATCAGATAACAAGCTGCACCCAAGTGAGTACTATGACTTATGCTCATGTGAACCTGCCCATGTTTTCAGATCAGAAGGAAGAAATGATTAGTCAGGTGCCTTAGAAATGAGTCTTCCTATGTTTGAGTAACACACAAAATTGTGGAAGAATCTTGTCATTGGGCACCTCTCAAAAAAAGCAACAAAGAAAAATTTATCCTGATTTTGGGATATAGAGAAGACCATGCAAAAGTGAAAATTGACTATGAGAGTATGGGAAGGTTGCAAGAAGCCAACAGAGAAAGTGGAAGAAGGCTCACTTGACTCCACCATGTCAAAGTGGAGTTCTTCCAACCCCATAAAAGATACACTAAAGGTTTGTTCAATGCTTATATTATTGGTTTTGCCAGTTGAGTTGAATAATATAGTATTTATGAAATAAAAACAGGTGCTTTTGCTGCAGTCCTTTGGCCTTCTGACATTGTCTGGAGCCATAAGGTTATTTAGAGTTCCATCTCTGAGGTTGTTCCCCTCCCCTGCAGCTGGCATGAAAAGAACTGTACTGGTTGCATCTCTAAGATTAGAAATAGATGCTGCAGCAGTGAGGAAGAGACTTGGACCATTGGCTTGTGGTGCACCAATCAAATGGTGCCTCAGCTCCCTTCCCTTCTCCTCTGCAGTGCTATGAAAGGTATAAGGTGTGGGGTGGCAGACATCTCTACTGTTGCTCCCCACACGCTGCATGTTAAAGGCTTCTGTGCATTAAGAGCTGTTGACATAGAAGTGTGCCCCACCGCTGCAATTATGTCTAGAGCTTTGAAATTAGTTCTGTGGATTGCAGCGAGACTTATGCGTAAATGTTAGGCTTGGTTTGCAAAGTAATGCAGATGCTTGTATGCTGCATTCTATAGTTATCTTTAATCAGTACAGTTTTGTTCACAAGTATATGCTTAACCTCTCAGTCTTAAATGCCTTTACCTGGAAACACATTCCATTAATTTCAGTTGAGTACTTTTCCAGGTTAGAGTACTCAGCATTTTATATCAGGACTTTTTACCTGATATCAAAATGTCTCCACTCCCTGTCCTAACAAAATTCTAGCCTTAGCATGGTAGCCTCCCTAAATTGTTTTCAAGAACAGTAAGTGCCAGCTGGCAGTAACATATTAGTGAGTAGAATAGTCTTGCTATATGGAGAACAGCTTGATTGTGCACCTTTTCAGTGTATAGATGTAAACAAAATCTGGCTATTTTACTTCAAGCATAGAGGAGCAGAGAACACGACCTACACAGAATAAAAATAAACAAAAATTTCTCAAAATGGCAGGGCATTGCTTTGTGAGCGAAGGGGCTTACAGAAGCACAAAGATCCACAAATGAGCATTTTGGTCACTAATTGAATCACAAATAATGCCAAATACCTGTGAACATTTCTCAACCAGGTCTCACATGGCAAGCATGATAACTCCTACAGAAAAGCTCTACCATAAAACAAACTGAACAGTAGTAAAAGAATAGATTCCAACTAACTATAACTCCTGGGAAGTCAAGTCAAGTAAAACAGGCCTAGTGAAGAGACTTTCTGCTTGTTCTCCCAGAAGGCGCAGGAGTGCTGATCAAGGGATTCCTAAACAATATTCCACTGTATCTGTAGTTCTTTTCCTCCATTCTGTCACTTTCAGCCTACCATGCACGCACTTGTGCAACATTCAGCTTTGCCTGACTTTTCAGACAGGGAGAGTGTAAGGAATGAGCGAGCAAGACAGTAGTCTAGTTTGCACACTCACCACCACATAAAACAAGCCATAGTGGCAAATAGCATTTGCCTGAGCTCAGCTTGTTGTGTCAGCTGAACCTAGGCAGCAGGGCTTGTTTGAAGGAAAACTTCTGGGTAGCTTTTGACCTGTTGTTGGACCAATGATGGGCCGTAGGCATGTTATAGGTAGAGAAAGAGGGGTGATAGCTGTGAGAAAAAGGCAAAAGGGGACTGGAGCCGGGGGTCAGACTAGATGGTTCTGACTCGCTCTTAGTTACCAGCTCTACTCTAAATAGCACTTCTATATTTAAAAAATAGGAATTCTAAAAATATGTAACATCACCTTAAGGCTAGAGGTGACTGAATTTGTTGAATAATGTGATTTTTCAGGAAATTGTTCTGCTTACAGTAGAGGCTGGTTGTTCCTAGGAACAAATTGTTTCAGTTGCGTATAACTGCAGGAAATTAATCTTGAACGTCTTTTAATCAGCCAAGGTCAAAGATTGCCTAACATTCCATTATTGTCTTGTCTTAAAATCAAGCTATTTGATGGCCCTTCATATGCAGGCTTAACTGGAAATTATGACAAATATAAGATTCTTTTCTTCCTGCCTGCCTTGTGTGATATGCACAGTGGTTGATTGATTGCCAAGCATTATACTCATGTTTATACATTTTGTTCTACATTAGTACATCCAGAGAGGCAATAGGTAAAATATACATGAGAAAATAATATGGAATGAATTTTATTTCTGTCAACAGTTAACCAGATCCTTTTGTGCTAGCTCTGGCAGTTGTAGTTGTAGAAACAGAAGTTGAAACAACTTTATTTATTTATTTCTGTTAAACTATCCCAGAAACCATGGTAAGAAGGCCTGTTGTGAAATACCTTTGTTCCCCTGAACACCTTTTGACTGGAATCCTAACCTTTGCGATATTCTGACATTATTAATATTATGCGTGTTTTCTTGACTTTCCAAAATTTCCAATGCTTTTTTGTTCAGTTTATTACTTTTCCATAGCTTTGTATGGAACAGTAGAAGAGCATGGGAAGCATCATGCTGGATCAGAATAAACCCTTTTTTCCCCTGGTCCAGCATTATGTCCTCGGCACAAACCCGCTCAAGAAGCTCAAATTCTTCATTTTTGGTATTTTTAAAATGTGCAAATGGGTCTTAATTTGTCACAACATCAACATTGTACCACTGCTCTTACAGTTAAAGAGTTTTCCTAAAATTTAACCAAAATCTTGCTTTCTACCTATTTGGTCTAATTTTACCATCTTCTCTGGCAGGCTTCAAATATCCTCTGTTCCCTCAACCCTCCCTTCTCCAGGTGAAACATATATTATTTTTTCAACCTTTCCCAACAATACCCTTCCCATACTACTGACCATAATTTTTCATTCTCTGAACCAGTTCTACTTTTTCCACATCATTAGAAGATAAGATTCATGCTGGATCAGACCAAAGTATTGTGTTTACACACTGGCCTAGTAGCTGCCAGTGGACAAAGCATAACTAGGACATGCGTGCCGTGTTCCCCTGTTCTTGTTCCCCAGCAACTGGTGTAGATAATGTATACTGCCTCTAACACTGGAGGTAGCATGTAGACATCAGGACTAGTACACTGGCGGCCTTATCCTCCAAGAATTTATCTAATACTAATTTAAAACCATTCAGATTGATGACCCTCACAACATCTAGTAGTTACAAATTCCGTAGATCAGCTCTGCACTTTGTGAAGAACTGCTTTTTATCTGTCCTGAACTCTC